CAACTTTTGAATCCTAGACATTGAACGTTACTGAAATTGTCTGGCTCTAAAGTATAAAAGCTGATTGATAAAAAAAAATTGTCTCCCATCTCGAGAAATGAAGAGAAATTAGTTATATAATAATAATAATAAAAGGAATGAAGTATGGATGAGAAAAGCATATGATGAATGTAATTAGATGGAAAGCATTTAATGATTAATGAAAGCTTGGAGATTAAGAGAGAGATTATAAAGATTTGTAGAGCTTAATTCAAGGCCACCATGTACACGTGTACATAGGAGTCCCCAAATATTTTGCCAGTAAGAAACCAATAAAAAAATAAATAATAAATAAATTAAAGAAACATGTATGGGACACCTCACCCTATTTATTGTAATTTAATACCCATTAAACCCATGTGTGTTAATTCTCCATTTTGGGAGCATAACTCACATCAATATTTTATTATTTTTAAATCTAATAATATATAATATAGACTCAACTCTAGTTGGCCATGTTTGGTTAGTTTTGAACGTTTAAACCATCCCATCTAGTTAATTGAAACACTTCTGGTAGAGATAAAACCTAAATATTATATATAAGTTTAAGATTTGGGAGAGTTTGAAATCATCGTCAGATTTTAGATTGATTGGAGAGGGAAACGGAACATTTTTTTATAAGAGTATATAAACCTCATCTTAATAGATGTATTTTAAAATCATGAACCTGACGACAATACGTAACAGACTAAAACAGATAATATCTGCTAGCGGTGGACTTGATCTGTTATAAATGATATCATAGTCAGACACCAGCCGTTGTGTTAGCGAGGACGTTGGGTTCTTAAAGGAGTAGATTATGAGATCTCACATCGATTGGAGGAGGGAACGAAACATTATTTATAAGTGTGTGGAAACTTCTCTGAACTAGATACGTTTTAAAATCGTGTAACTGACGGCGATACGTAAAAGTCAAAGTCAATTTGGAACGTTAAATTTGAGAGATAAAATGGAGCGTTGACAATGGTGGAGAATGGAAGATCTTGTAATCTTTGTGGGACATCGGCTGTGTTCTCTTCTTCCTCACTCCACTCTATCCGAAACCCCATAACTTGTTTGTTTATACTAAGGATTGGTTCCCAGTTGTCTTAATTATGTTGCAATGGAGCTGTCACTTTCATATAATTAATTCAAATTATCTTATTAATTGTAGCAACAAACTTAATTAATCCATAACCAAGATTGCCCACATACAAAAACTAGCAATAATTTTAGTTTTGTAATTTTACATGAATTCAACAGAAGCCTGTCTTAATTTCTGGACTAGCTCCTTCACTGTGATGCAGAAATCATCATCCATCTGCAAATTAAATTAAATTAAATTAAATTAAATTAAATTAATTCCCATAAGACACAGATTTAAAAAGAGTTTGACATTAAGAACCTGAGCAATGATGGTTATAAGAAGGTGTAAATTGGCAAATGGCATGGCGGTGCTGTTTAGAACTGTTAGATTGAGCTTCTCTATCTCTTTTAGTATATTTGAAACACACCCTTTGCATTTCTTGCCATGAATCCTCAATAGAACATCCTTGCCGGAGACTCTTGCTTCTATGTCCGGGATTGCGCCGTCCGACCAGATGTTGTCGTCGGTGGTTGAGAGATCATCCGATCTGTTCATAACCACCGCTGATTCCACGGTTGCTTTGGCTGTTTCTTCGTCAGCCGCCTTCAAACGTTCTTCAAGATCTTTTATGTATGTTATTGCATCCCCAAGAATCGAGGCTTTGTCCATCTATTACCCACAAAATTAGAATAAAAATCGTTTGAAAGCTAAGAATATGAATAAAATTTTAAATTGTAACGGTTTAAAAAAAAAAAAAAAAAAATCCAGCATCCTTGAGAATTCCGGTGGCTCACCGGAATTCTCGAGCATCCTCTCTCAAGAACATGCCCGTCCCTTCTCACTAAGTCCAACTACCTCGTTCTACCCACCAAAAAGAAAAACACAGAAACATTGAAAACGAGAGGGAAGGAAAGAGATAGGGAGACGAATGGTTGCAAAACCTTGTGACACTGTCGTATATTAGAGATAAAGTCAGGAAAGAGAGGACTAACGAGCCAGAGAATACCTTGATGCACACTCTACCAAATAGTATAGTTGCTTTGCCGGCTAAGAAGATGAATTGATTTGAATCTTAATAAGTACAAGGGAGATATTGCTAAAGAATCTTTAACTTAGATTAGAATATGATGTTTTAATGAATATTCTCGCCCAATTAATTAGAAAGAAATAATGACCTTCTTTAGACGTGGAATGAGAGCTGAAAGAGCAACAAATCTCTGGCTGAGCTTTTCTCTGCGCTTTCGCTCAGCTATGACATGATCTTGACCAACCAAAGGGCTTCGATTCACAACCCCAGCACTTCTCTTCATTCCCACACAAGATTTTGGCGAACAATTTGAACCCTGTTCGATCACCGACATCAAATCTCTGTTTGTTTCGCACCCCATCTCAAAATTGGGCTTCACTTTGTTGGAAGGTGGAGAAGAATGGGAGTTCCCAAACGAGATGACGTGGGATGAGGAAGACGAAGCAGCCATGGAAGCAGTGCAGGAGTTGTTCCAGCTGCCGGTAGCCCTCGGTTGTTTGGCCGGCCTCTCCGCCACCTCACACGGCTGCCGGGTTTGTACGGAATGGTCTAGATCTGTGTGGGATGTGTAGCTTTCGTCGGAGAAAGCTTGGAAACCGAGCTCGTGTAGCGTGCACTCAAAAGGGTTCATTTCCAAATCATCCATAAATGGAGCTTCCAATTCCTTGATAATCAAAACCCCAAAAAATATCAGATTCATAATAATAAAAAAAAAAAAAAAAACCCATAATTAAGTTGAGCAAATTACCATGTCAGATAACCATTTTGCAGAAGAGATTTCCATTGGAAAAATTGCGCCTTTTTTGCGTGAAGAACACAGTGAACAAATTAAAACCCTAGAAATTAGAGGTTATTTATTCAGTTAATTAATTATTAAAATAGGCAATTTGATTGCATAATATGAATTAAAGATAAGATGAAAAGCACGAGCATTTAAGGAGCCGTGTTTTTCCAAACGTGGAAAGGTTCTAGTGGTGGAATGGGTGGATTTTTTTATTTTTTTTTTATTTCGGATCTCATGGATTATATCTAATTAAATAAACTATGTCAATTATTGTTTTTCTTTTTTCTTTTGTTTTCTGTAATATTAAATAATTATATAATATATAGAGGAGGCCGATTATGCACAATTTTTTAATTTATCCAATAGTGCTCTCACATCAAAACTCTGATCAATTTCTATAAATATATAAATAATTTTATTTAATTCAGACTCAAACTCATCCAGTTAAAATTAACTATGATTAGTTCCCCTGCTATACTAATCATTAACATAATGTGAATTATTGCACCCAAACTATTCTTATAAATCAACGTTCGTGTTTATAACATGTTTTTGTCTTTATTCGACATAAATTTGTTTCTAGTCAAACACATTTACTATTGAAATTTTTATGATTGAGTCACTGAAAAATAAAATGTATATTAACTATCAATTATTTTAAACATTTCATAACTATCATATTCTAAAAATTACTCTTATTCAAATGTACGTGAAATTAGTCACATTTTTAGAAGCCCCCATGTGCCTCCTCCTCAATATGTATTTCCTCAGGTGGCCTTGCATCCACACGATGCACCCAACACCCTTTTCATTAATTAAAAATAATTTTCGAATAAACAAGTTTTTATTTTGAACAATAACAATAATTAATAAATAAATAAATAATAATACAATCATAGAATCATAAACAAGTGTATAAAGCCAACTCAATTTGTGGTTCTCATTTTCTTAACCCTCACAACAAATACATCTAAAAATACATCTTTTTTATTTAGTTTGGTAACGGGGAACTAAACTATATGATTGCAAATATATGTTTATAATGGAGTGTTCGTAACCGCCCAAGTTAGACTTAGAATAGGTTTCCACACCTTTAAAAAAAAAATGTTTCTTCCTCTCCAATCGATGTAGAATCTCATAATTGGATTCTAAGATATTGTATTAATTTTAACTCTTTTTTAGTTTAACCATGGTTGGAGTAGCGATTCATGATGTTTTGATTGAGAATAGATGTCAATCATAATTTAATGATGATTAATTATATGTTCAAACCTTGATCGTGAATTGCTTTGGAAGATGAACCAGAACGAGTGGTTCTTCTGGGTCCAGATCTTCACAGTGTTATCATTGCCCAGTGATCCAGAAGCAATCATGTTGTCGCTGGGGTGACAACATACTGATATCACGTTGAATTGGGGATTGAAGGTAACACACAACACACAACACATGGTTAGTATGGCCATTAAGCGTCTTGATAAAGGGACCCAGAAGACACATCCCAGAGACGAGAAATCTTATCGTCGGAGGCCGATACAAGAAAACGAGAATCAGAGGAGAAAGCCAAGTCGGAGACATCCTGTTCATGGCCTCTGAACTCTTGGGGAGGGGTCAGAGTGGAATTTGAGCACGCATAGGTGCGAAGGGTCTTATCGGCGGAGGAAGAACCAAGAAAACGTCCATCAGCTGAGAATTTGACGAATGAAATCGCTCGATTGTGGCCAGTTAAGGTCTGGGACAGAGTGTAAGGATTATATGAATCTGATTGAGATGGCTCCGATGACATCTCTTCAATCTATCACTGAAAAGCCGATTCAAATGAATCAAATGAGGGGTTTTGAAAGCGATGAACCCAACATGAAAGAAAATCGGAGATGGAGGCGGAGATCGGAGTCCTCCGGCTCCGATGATAGTAAGAAAGATCAATGCGATATTCTGGTGGCCCTGATGCTACGAAACAATGTCTTGCAGGTCGACGGTTAATTTTGGCGGGATATAAAATTATTGTGAGATTGTCTTTAAATCAAATTGGGCCACTCTAAGTTGAATGATGATATAAATACCTTATTATAAAAGAGATCACTTCACAATTCACCAACAGTATTTACATCATATAGTAAAGATATATACAGGCAAAATAGCACCAATGTTACATCTGATTTTTGGCTAATATTGCCCCAAACCATTCTCCCATATCTTAACTATGGAAGCGGAAAAAGAATTTACGAGCTAATAACAAATACATCTCCTCATCACAAGATGCTGCAAGTCTGCACATTTACATTTGGTTTTCTACAAAATGTAATGGCATAAGCAATCTTGGTCCTACAAAACAGGAGGCCTAGCCTCTACGATCAGGGGCATTGAATCAACACTAAATAGAACCCTTACCCAATAGCAGAAAATGGAGCAAAGCACCAGGTGATTGCTTTCGATAACACAATTCATGAAGCCTACGTTAAATCTTGTTGCTTGATAATTTTCTAATAATAGATGTTGCTATATGATTCCCTCGTCCACTAAAATTTCTTAGTAAAAGATGTTGCCTTAATAATCCTGTAGGAGAAAGAATCGCATGTTAGAAGTCAGGAGGGACATGGAGAAAATGACTTGTAAGGTAGGCTCAGAAGATAAGCTCTCAATGAGTGAGAAGAGTAATCCAAAATGATCCCTTGTGAAGAACGATCCAATACAAGCTTACGATTTGAGATGAGCTTTGGAATCTCAGAATGATAGTATTAATCCAAAAGGACTGAAATTTACCTTCTGCTGCTGGCTAAATCGCCAACTACAGATGATGTTGATATGCAGCTCCCACCAAAAGAAGCATGACTTCTCATATCCAGACACGACTTGTAAAGATCTTGAGAATGCTTCCCAGGTAAACCAAACCACATGTTTGGTTTCCCATCAGCATTCCTCAGCCTTGAATATGCAGGTGGTGAAAAGTCAGGACATGAGGAGTTGCAGAAGTTTTGATTTTCCTCCCTGTAAAAGAGACATCGGAAAAATGCGATATAAGTGACTATCGTGAGAAACATCATGCTAAGAGAAACATGAACATCCAGCATAAAAGTACTCTATTCCAGAAGATGGGAAAACTGATGTAGGTCTACAAGAAGAGAGATTAGATGACTGATTTTCAGAAAGCCCCAGAGAAGTCATTGGCCAGCCTTCAATCGTCAGACCTTGTTCGGCTGCAAGGTGCAATATCTGTTTCTCGTCCAGTCCCAGCCCCATGAGCAAGTTCCATAAGTTTTTCAGAGCTTCTCTTTGGTTGTGAATGACTTGATCTCTCATTGCCATCTCTAACTGGAGCTCAGAGTTGGCCATTCCCTATAATACTTCTCAAATTGTTAGGTTCTGAAGAAAATTACAGAACCGTAAAAATATAAACCATTCATAAAATCTACAATATTCATTAGATTTCTTCTCTCTCTTCACAGATATTACAAGCACTCGTGTTCTATTTCTTTTCTTTTTTCCCCTAGATCTGTACAACTGATATATTCAACTCCAGTAAAGAAAATCAGGTGTACGAACACAACAATATAAAGACATCAAAACTATCAAACCAAATTTGTTTCAATTTTCTTCTTTAATAAGATAACTTGACAAGTGTTTGGAAAAAGTAATTCCCCAACGACCGATTATGACCTGTTTACTCGATCAAAATTAGTGCATTTTCGGAGTACGTTTAGGATGAATATAGCTTAAGAACGATGCTTGGAAATAGAATAGTTGCATTAACAATTTGGTAAGAGAAAATGTGATTTGCAAAGCGTGAAATAATTGTCATTTACTTATTATAAACAATCATAATTTATAATTTAATTAATTATATGAAGTTAAATTAATTTTATTGTTCTTTATTAATTAATTCATACTTCACAAGAGATAAATTGATTCATGCTAAACTTAAAATTAACTATTCTGATTAAATTTTTACTATTAAAATGTAATAATTAGCTATGTTGGCATATTAGAAAATAACCTTTTAATCATAACATCATATATTAAATATGGTCGTGCAAATCTACTTTTCAATGCTAAGATCAATCAAGAATAAACTAACCAGAAGTCTATACTGACTAAGTATCCGCAAGTAAGTTTTATTCCCATTTTTACTAACGGCTTCATCAATCATTCCTTGAAGTTGACATCGCTGCTTTTCATTTGCTTCAATTTCCTAAAGAAGTGGAGTTAGTATTATGAGTAATATACAATTCATACGGACATTAATGGAGGCTCACGCATATGCCGATTACCTTCTGATAATTGACTCCAGCTTCATCATTGTCACGAATGTTATCTAAAATTACTAGACGTCGGGCAACCAGCTCCTCTACAGTTGATCCGTCCATTTGAATAGCCTGTGAGAGTGAAAATGTGCGCCATCAGTCATGCAAACACTAAATCGTGCATTTTCTATCATACTATTCAAAATCAATGGAGAAAACAGAAGGAACAGTTGCAAACTAACAAAGGACCTGATGCCTTGCAATAATTTCATCAAGTCGTTGGAGTTCTGAACGGTTATTAAGGTTGGTTTCCTCTAGCTCAGACATAGCCTTCTGTAAATTTATTCTTTCCTGAACATTCTCACTTATTTCATGACTTAAAATATTCAACTGAGACAGCTCATCGTCTGCAGCCTTTTCAGCAGGTTTAGTACTAAGCTGGGATTCCTTTTCAGCTAGTTCCTTTTTTAATTGACAAACCTCAGTCTGAAGAAATCAAATAATTAAAGATCAGTAAATGGGTCAACCATCTTAAACAAATAACTCAAATTAACGGATCACCTGAAGACTATCAATCATCCGTTGGTAGTCTGATACATGGGTGTCTACAGCTCCAATGTTTTTCTGGAAACATAAGGTGTTAACATCTGAGTAATGACAATTGTCGTCTATAACCATTGAAGTCATAGCAACAGATCTTTAAAAAGAAAGCCTCCATCACATAACACACACACACACACACACACACACAACGAAAAAAAAAAAAAAAAAAAAAAAAAAAAAAAAAAAAAAAAAAAAAAAAAAAAAAAAAAAAAAAAAAAAAAAAAAAGTAAAAGGAAAAGGGCACTATTATAGAATATCCCCACTCCGAATTCAAGTCCAAATGTAAGATGGGAGGGACTTAAAATCTAACCTGGACGTGTGTCTTGATTTCCTTTGCTCTGTCAGCATATTTCAATGTATTCACAGTGTGATGATAATGAATGTCTGCAGGTGATATCGTAGCAATCATCACAGTCTGAGAATTTCCACTTAAACCATCTTTCAAAATTCGTGTTAATTTACTGCAAAAATAAATAATAAGCAAACGATGAAAAACAGTTATGATGACTAGATATAAACTTTCAGACTGACATAAATACCTGTTACGGTATGGGACATAAGCGAGACCTTTTTTCTGTTGTTTCCCTAACGCGTTTATGCAGTTGGCTAAAGCAAGGAGTGAACGATTAATGTTAGCTCCATCCCTCAATTTTTGGCCAGCATTATTTGTCTCAGTAGCCCGTTCACTACCAGCAAGATCTACAAGGGCAAGTTTCCCTTGCAAGACCTGATTTGGATATTTGTTTCTTCGTTTTCTTTTCACTCTGATCTCCAAAACTGCATGTGATCTGTTTACGTCATTAATATTCAAATTATATCGAGCAGTAAGCGTATGTTACGTAAAGCCAACTAAAAATGTTGCACTCACTGAGAAGAACCAGTAGCATGACAAATAACTAGCTAAACCACATTTGTTATACCACGTTTTTTATGGTAGTGATATGACGACTGTAAATCCATATACTCTGTGTAATATAATGGAGGAACCAATGAAGTACTTGACAACTAGTCATTAGTTAGGATTTGTTAAGGAGATTTAATTCAAAGAAGAAAAAGATGAAAATAAGATAGAAAAGGCAAATGCCTAGGTACGGTTATGCATGTTTAACGAACTGGAGACACCTTGAGTCATTATTATGGATAGTGCCATTGTTGAATGCAAAGGGCTTGGCTTTCCAAAAGATCAAACTTTATAAGCAACTTAGAATGGAAGCAAATGTGCACTTCCTTTGGGTGGGTTACATAAGAAATTGAGTTGTCTAAGTGATACAATTTTAAATGGCATCCAATAGAAAAATCTCAGCTTTAACATAAAAAAGCACAAAAATTATGGTTAAAAATATCATCTTGGTCCTGTAATTTGAGGTTTATTCCATTTTAGTCCTAGTCCATGTAAAAATAAATCTTAAAACCAGTCTCTAGGGTTAGTTTTAAGTTATTTTGAATATATTTCCAAAATTTGTAGAAGGCTAACAAAGTGAAATTTTTTTTAAAAACTTAATAATAAACAAATAGGGACCAAAGTGTGGTGACTGAAATTAGATATTTGAAAGTACAGGGAATAAAATAGAATGAAACACAAAGTTCAAGGACCAAAATGATATTTTAATGAAAAAAAAAATAAACTTAATTAACAGCCAAACGTAAAAGAAATATATACAAAAGCCAAAGAGAATATGAGACATTTTGGTATCAGAACCCTTCGCTTATGGCAACTATAGGATAACATACCTTGAAGAGGTGGCATTTACCTCCGTGCTCTCTGTTTTTCTTCGACTATTACCCATGTTCAAGAGTTCAAGAATTTTATCCGCAGAATGAACCTGAAGTAGACCCAAAACCGTAAAGGGCATTTAGTTTATTGGGAAAAGAGAAAATAGAAAGGGAAAAAAGAGCATTACGAATTTATGCAGGTTAGAGAAGATTTGAAAGGGTCCCCTTCTCTAAGCCAGAAAAGGAAGGGAGATGCAGGGATCCAAAAAGAAATTAGGGAGTTGAAGTTTATTAACAACCTCAAGATTGTTAAACATTTTCTATTGGAAAGTGGAGTCTGTAATTTAACTGAAAGAAAAAATAAAGAGATATCAAAAAGATTATGTATTTCAGCACCAAACCACAAATTATTAGTAGCATGTATCAGCCAACTAATGCAAAAAAACAAAGATTGAGACTCCCTTCACATTTTAGCCTCTAAATTAAAGGCCTTCTCACTTCGAAAAGAAACTTCACCATTACTCGGCAACAATCCACATAAACTTCTAACATCTTGTGCAAGTTGGATTTTAAGTTTGAAGCTAAGGCCAAACCATTATTATTAAGAAGCTACAAATTTTTCGTCATCCACTGTGGTGACAACTCCCACCACAATATTGAACAGGTTTAAAAGCTACAGAATTTTCTGATACAATGTATATAAAAAATGTAACTTTTCCTTGATGGTGAAAATCATTATTTACTATTATATATTGAGTTCAAGGATCTAATAATACTAGAAAAAGAATGAACCTTGATACACCTAAGGCCCGCAACACTTATTCCTTGCTCAGGATCCTCTCTAAGTTCTAAATGACCAGATGATTTTTCAAGCAAATCGTAGATGACCTGAAAAATAGTTTTAATAGATGAAAATAATGTTTAGGCAAAACAAAAGGCCACCCACATGTATGATTTCCAAAGAAAAGGTACGGTCAGCATACTTCATTGTATACTTCTAGATAAGAGCAAGTAACTTCAAATTCATCAGACCGCTTGTCTTTTTTTATGAGATCGAATACAGTATTCAAACTGAGCACCATGAGTCCAGGATCACCTTTGGTCCCAACCATTGTGTATGTTTTACCACTGGCAGGGAAAAGGAGTTAGATTTCAAAAGGAAATTTGAGAATGGTTAACATAGATTCAGTATAGAAGAATAAAGGAAAAGTTCAGTGTCTTCCAATTCTACTTTTGTGGTTCCCATCTATACTAAAATGAATAAAAAATGACCAACGCTATAGGCTCTTCAGGCTTAAATTATGTACTCACTCTAAACAATAACATTAGAAAGCTATAATCTCTTAAACTGATTGCATTCACCACACAGAGCAATCAGATTTAATCTCTCTCTCTCTCTCTCTCTCTCTCTCTCTCTCTCTCTCTCTCTCTTTTAAATTGCATTGTGTAAGGCATTTTACCAAGCAGTAATAATTACTAAAAGAAGATTACATCAGAGGACAAAATGTTACAAACATGAAACTGTACATTTTGCAATATAAGCATTAGCCACGATTCTTTATTAACTGAATATATACATTTAGCAGGTGGGTGATTCCAGTCCTTTGATCACAGTCTAATTCATTGAACACTTGGTTGTCCATAAAATGACATAAGGACTAACTAACGCTCTGAAACTAGAAGTACGGTCCACTATAACCTGCAGTTAAAATAGAGGTGAAGAAGAAGAGAGCTAGTTTAACTCATCTAAAGAAAAGATGGAGATAACTTCAGAACAAGAAAACACCTCTTTAATACCTTCCAGTTGACCCATAGGCAAAAACAGTAACATTTAGACCTTGAACGATTCCAGGTATTATGGAAGATATACTTTTCGTGTAGACTTCCTGAACGCACAGGGATTAGAAAAAAAATTTAGCCATATAGCAAAATCATCAGCAAAGAGAACGCATTCCAATGAAAGAGTCGTGTGAATTAAGTTTTTTAGCTGATGCGAATGAGATACTGTCATTTCTTAGCAACACAGAAAATAATCTTTATCAACTCAGATACTAATCAGTATTTTAAGTTCTTGCTTGGTGATAAAGAAATCCCAGTATCGACCTTTTAAATTTTAAATTGAACTAGTCTTAAAACGTGACACCAGTGTCTTCAAATTAATAAACTCATCTATAATGGAACCTCTCGAAAGAATCCAGACGAAGAAAAATAGACGATTTGGTAGGCCAGATTAATAAAAAACAATTAGTTATACCAACATGCCAAAGAGAATTGAGTGATCATTACTAAGATCCACGAATATATCCAGAGTTTAAGATATTTCGCATATTTTGAGCTCTATGAAGAACTTTTCCACTTTAATCCAACTTGTATTCGCCAGAAAACCGTAAATCCAATAGTCAAGTTCCAGCAATGCGCAATCTCAATTATTCGTCATCTAATCGGACACAGAACAAAAAAATAAAAAAATAAAAAAATCAAGAATGGAGATAAACTTGTACGCACCAGATTAGTGCTCTCTGGACCAAATGCATGATCAAAACAATAATTCTTCTCCTTCGTTCGGTTCTGAACGCGGTCGAGGTAATCCTTCGACAGGTCAGGATCAAGTATAAGCACCTCCTAAAATTGTAGGGAGGCCAAATTTCAGCAATAGTTTGATCGACAAAATGCAAAGCTAAATAAATTTTCAAATCCGCAATCTACTTAGCTAACCTTGCTTTCAATCACGCGGACAATATCACGGCCACGCTCTCTCTCCCTTAGAGGACGGCATTTCACTGCAACCTGAAGAACAAAATGCGACAAGGATGTCACGAAGGAATTAACGCGTAGAAAGCTGGTTGTTGGCAAAGGCAAAAGACGAACCGTCAGAGTCGTGGTTTTCTTCGCTCCGGGTGCTATGATACTGGGCATTTTCAGCAGACATCGATTTCCGCAACACTCAATAAACAATCAAATGCAAATCATTGGGTCCAAGACTACCCAAACACCTTGTCAACAAACTATAAAGACATTTTACATCTTACATTTGCATTCTGAAATGGACATTTACTTCCATTGCATTGCAAACTCATACAACACCCAAAAAAAGAACTACAACAAACATGAGAAAAAGTTCATTTCCAAAACCGCAAAGAAATGAATCTCTCTTGTCACATCGCTAACCCTAAAATGGCATTGATGAACCCACACGCGAAGATCAACAGAACTCCCCCGATCCTGGAAAAGAAAAGTCAAGAATCAGAAACAAAACGCACAGCCACGCATTCCAGAGAACAATGCCATGACCATAAGACGACAGAAGATAATAAGACCAAACAAAACATCGAACCTGGAGAAAACGGCGAGCGTAGTGATCGAAGTGGAAAAAGAAACCGCATCCAAGAGAGAAAGAGACAAAAGGGCGAAAAGAGAGAGAGAGAATGGCTATTGTGAATGAAGGGAAAAAGAATGATCAATTATGTGGTGGTTGAATGGCGTATGGTAGTGGCAATAAAAAGTAAAGAAAGAAATGGGAATGCAATGGCGAAGGCCATTAAAATGGGGTAACGACGGAGAAGAGGCGGAGGAGTGGAGGAGCTGGAGAAGAACTGGATTGATCGAGACCGTCGGTTGGTTTTCGAAATGGACGGCAAGTGAATTTGGTTTGTTGCTGGAGTGATCGTGACCGTCGGTTTGATTTGGAAATGGACGGCAAATGGAATTGAAAATGAACTTGGTTTTTATTTTGATTTTCCATTTGTAACGAAACCAACAGGTTGGATCTGCTTATGATAAGGGTAACAATTACGAGCTTTTGAAGACCGATGCTTTTTTTTTTTTTCCCCTTTTCTTTTTATTTCGACTTTCTAAGAAAAAAAAACTTTTCTGATTTTTTATAATATTCCTTTTTTTTTTCTTTCACCAAATTTAAAGAAAATACTGAATTTCATTTTAGAAAATGAAATTTAGTTTCAACTCAGTTTTGATAGTTTTTTATTTTATTAGTTAGGATATTAAATATTGATAATTATTTAATTTTTTGTTAAATATTTTTAAATCATACCTCAAAAGGCTAATTCTCCATAAATTTTATTGTTTTGTTATCCATGTTTTAAAAGAAACCAAATTAAATTTTGAAAACTAAGAAAGAAATAATGTGTATATATATAGTTTAAAAAGTTTTATTTCTATTTTTTAAATTGGAATGGAAAAGGATGGGGCCCATAGGACAGGTCATAGAGGGTGGGATGCACGTGTGAGCAATGCATAATCTGAGTTGAGAAAAATACTTTAATTTCCAAAGAGATTAATAACAAAAATAAATCTTTTAAAATAAAAAACAAAATCACCCGAATCCTATTTGTTGTTAGAACGTGAACCCAGTTTCTTATTTTCTGTCTTCGAAGCTGTGAATTGCGCATACCCGTTAGCTTCCCAGCGAGTGGCGCCGCCTGCAACGACATTCAAGGGCCTTGGAAGATGGCAGGCAGGTGCTCATGAATTCAAGTCAGCCTGCATCCTCTTCGTTCTTTGTCAACCACAAAGCTTCTAAGATTTGAAATGAACACGTGACACTTGGCATTATCTGTTGGTTCATCTTTAATTAGATTCAATCATCTTGCATTTGAGTCGTATTATGGGTCACCATCATTCATAATTGATCTCTAAAGAGTTTTTGGTCACCCATCAATTTTCATGCATTTAAGGCAAGTTTATTTGAACCCACCAATAGGTAGGTTATTGTAAATATGCACATTACTAGAAATGACATCCATTTAGATTTAGAGAAAATATAAGTAATGGTCCTTATGATGACACCTTTTTTAAATGGATAGATCTAAGACAAAACTTCAATAAATGAATCTCAACGACTCAAATAGTAAGTATCGAACTAAACATGATTACATTTAGTTTTATTGATTATCCATTTTGAGTTTTAACTCGCAAGAAAATGGAGATTCGAATAAATCAAGTTAGCTAGTCTAGACCATCTATTTCTAGACCTAATGTCATAAGATTTTGAGTTCGGCAAACATAACTTTAACTACAAGAAAGAACAAGCAAAGAATCCAGAGAACAAAAAATCATATTGAAGTTCGGACCAAAATAAATAAACTGCAGAGATTCAAAAGTCAGAATACGATTTAAACCAACCAAATATTTTATATCTAAGCATAAGCATGTATTTCTAAACATTATTCTCATGCAAGCCTTGAACCCCAAATTCCAATGAGAGGAAACAGAGAAACTTGAAGAAAATTTGAAGAAAATATGAATTTTGAGGGAAACAGGAAGCAGGTGGCACACGAGAAAAAAATGAACTGCAAGTAGAGGAGTATAATTGCAGCTTGCTTGAAGGTTGAATCACACCACTTTGAAGCAAAACCATTCAACATGGTCAACAAGTTGTCACTCTCTAACTCGCTCGACAAAATCATAATTTTTAGTTTCTCATGTCAAAATCCAACGACATAAACCACCCACACTTACCAACCTCGAATAATTTCTCCACTTGGAGGAGAAAATAACAGGTAGGTGGTACGGTTTAGTTTGACTAGTTTCTTTTTAAAACAATTAAAATAAAAACGAGTCTTTTTAGCTGAACATTCAGCCTTACAGTACATCGCCATTCTTTATATTCACATATAAATTACTATTAAAAATAAAAACTACCTATCTCTTCATTTACAAACCTAAAATCTGTCCATTATAGACTGGAAGTCTGGAATCAAGCTCCACCACATAGCTGCAGTGGCGTGCAAGCTGCAGTGATGGATGCAAATATTGTTGATATGTATGTTTGTACGTTCTACTTTGTACCTGGTTTACAAGCTCTTTATAGCTGTGTAAGCAGAGAGATAGATATCACAGCACTCTGCATCCCAAGAGAAGTCCTTGGTCATGGCATCAAACACTTTATGATTCCACTCGGATGGATTGTTATTCTGTACACAGTCCCAAAGAACATAAGGAAATAAGGTATTGCCCATTGCATAGCAGCTACATGATATAACAAACTCCTTAATAAGTTATTTTGTATGAGGTTTTATAGCTCATTAACACTTACAATTTCATCTAGGGCTTGGCTGAAGGACAAGTATCCGAAGGTAGAGTTGATGAACATTGCTAATTTAGTAGTCTCGTAGTCATGATCCGGAAAGTGTCTGGCAACATGGAAATTAAAGAAATCAATGAATCCTTTTATATTTCTTATCACAAGAAATTAACAAAGAGTACATCACCATTCACATGTATCCGAACTTCAATTTGCTAAAAACAGTTACCTGAATCCGTTGTCATTGGAGGTGATTGCAATTGGAGCAGCTCCATATCTCATAGCCTTCAACTACATTATCGAAGGAAAGATAAAAAAAGAAAAAAGTTGTAACAAACTATTCGCCCTTGGGCTTGGAACACAAGTTCAGAGGTTGACATGGAACAGTCCAGACAACAGATGGGATTGAGACAGAATACAGTCAAAGTAGAACTGACAAAGATATTAACTGAACAATTAACCTTCATGCCCTACATGTCCACATTGTGGTTATAGAAGTAGAATTCACTAATAAACATTTAAGTTCCAGGTATTGAGCCACCTTCTGGAGTAGACGAAACTTTAACTTCAGCAAATGGTATGAAACTCCAAATTAATACATATTCTCTGAACAGTCCACGATAGATTAAAATGCTAAGGAAACCCTGCTGGTCCTAATCTAGAGGTCCTTTAATTATCCCACAATGGTTGTCAGAGTTGAGTATTGCTTATATATGTTCAGGGGAAAATCTCAACTTAAAAATTTGCCACACAGATCTCCTCTTCCTCACTGATGAAATACAGGTCAACTTGAAGACTTACAATTAAATAATTGACTTAGCTTACAACTGGACTGTTTACAAATAATCACCACACCTGGATGAAGAGAAGAGAATAGTACTTACTGGCACTTGCAGAATAGGATCGTGAAGAGACTGGCACAAGATAATGTTGGAACCTCCAAAAATGAGATGCAACAATGTCTCATCGTGTCTGTTTATGAACCTGACGTTTTCATCCTGCAATGATTGATAGTTGCTAAAAAAAATCAACTGGTTGCAACTGTTTTAGATTAAGTCAGTATGATGATGAGCAATCTAAAATTTAACCAATTACCAGAATCATGCACTACATCCAAAATGAGTTGATTATCATGTGAGATAACAGTAAGATTATCATCGTCACTTTTGTTATGCTTGCCTTACTGTATGTGGTCCCCAGTAGATGACTTGATTTGTGAGATGAAAGGAAAATAGATGAGATCAACAAAAAGAAAGTACCTCAATTCTTACTTGAAGAGATTCTAGTTCCTTTTGTCCACTTGTCATCTTGCCAGTCGTCATGAAGATGAACTATAAGAAACCGGTTAGCACTCATCATCCCATAAAATGAATTTTGTAGGAGAAAGAACGAGCTTACAAAAACTACATATGCTCAACTGATTGCTTCCACCATAAATACAAGAGTACAGACCATAAATTTTCACTATAACTTCATGTTCGAGTGCAATGGCAAGTAAAAGGTTTCAGTAGAATTCAGCATGTAAGTTTTAGAGAGGAGATTACAACCTGGACAGCCATTCTGGTACCATTCTTAACAATTGCTATCAGGTCCTCTTTGTCAACATCTGACAAATCTGACAAAAAACATCCAACCTGATGGGGCGGCAATGGATTAGAAATGTACAGAGCCAAAGGCAATAGTCTATTAGCATCTTTATAGCTGCAGTATTCAAGGAAGAGCAGAAGAAGCAATACAGCATGAAAGTAAAAAGGATGAAGTAAAAAGTTAGGGCAAGCTGCCTAGAGGTTCAGAAATGTAGTTCGAAGGAGAACAGAAATAATCAGGTGCTACAAATATAATATACGCGTGGATGGGTAAATATGCTGATAAGCACCCATACACTTCGAGAGTTTTCTTTCTGCATTCAGTCCCTTGTAAATGATGCCTTGGGACTTTTCATTTCCAAATTATGTAGGTTGATGACATGATTATAATCCAAGAAGAAGAAGCATGTGAAGCATCTGTTAGCAGTCGGGAAGTGTTAAAGGTTGTATAAATATTTAGTATGATTGGTAATGCTTTCGTCAATGGATAAAATTTTCATCATCTGTTTAGCAAGTCTCCAAACTAGCAAGCAAAAAGTCCTATTCTATAGCTTATTGAACTTTAAGTGATTTCAATTCATGACAAAATAACATATGAGAATCCAAGTTATGACTACACATTGACGCATAGAAGTTTTTAAAGGTAACAAAATTTTCTCCACCAGAACGTAATATAACACCACGATTTATAAACATAAAAATCCAGAAAACATCCTGAAGCCTACTTGACGAACGGTAGGATACTTACGGTGATAATAGAAGCATTCTCAGGTAATCTCAGCTTTTGCTGCAACGCAATTTTGCATACAAATTTTCCTTTCATATCATCTGCACTATAATTTTCTGGAAGAATTTTATCTTTTTCAGGATCCCAAGATGAGCTCTCAAACCCACAAGGGGAGACAAGCAATTTGTCCCTGCAATAAGGCAATAAGCAACAAACAGAAAATAAAAATTCATCCCGCCTAACTTGTTACATGCAGGATAATCAGTTGCACTTTGACTTTGTAACTGGAGAATCGGTAGAAGCTATCAAATATAATTCTTAAGATTTATATGAGATATGCAAAGTAAGAAACATTATACGGAAAAATATAGATCTACGAAAAGAAAGGTGTGGTCGGGCAAAGTCCAGAGTAGTTTAGTTGGGGGAAGGAAATATTTTATACAGGAGGTAGGTGGGGTCCTTGGGTAGTTACATAGTAGGTAGGTTTGAATTTCGTGTCTTTTGGGAGAGAATAGACCTCTCAAATTGTCCACCACCTTTTTCCTTTTTCATTTTAGCAATATTACAGTGTGGTGCCTGTAACTATATCATTTGTCTACTATACAATCATTTATCAAGTTCCAATCAACTATATGAAGGAAATTTTGTTTGAAACGCAATCCAAGAAAGAACTCAAGCAATCCAGTTTCAGGAATTGCAAAAGACGACAACTTACTTGTGCATGTTTAAGGTAGTTTCCAAACCATGACTCGAACTATGAATTATATGGCCTTTTGAATGTGTGGATGACATTATTGCAACTTTATTGGAGTAAACAATTCCGCCCTGTAAAATCACAGGCAATATATTTCATTGTACATGATACTGATAGGAAGCTTGAAACTCAATATAGACCTAGGATATTAATCAATATGCATAACTGTTCAAGAACTTAATACAGGACAGTCTTTTTATATTTTCCTCTAACAGGCAAAAACAAGACTGGTTTATACGAGAAACAAGAACTAGACAATTGCTACACCTAAAATTATAAGATTGGCCTTACCAAAGAAATTCAAATATTCTACATTCTATACCTTCATAATGTTTGCAAGATGTGTATTGGAGTTGTCTTGCAGACGATCAGGACGATGAAGTTTAGTAGGATCAAGTCCGCATAGTGCCAGTTTCTCTGGTTGTATAAGAGGCTAGGATATTTTGGATAATCTCATCATTCGTATTACAACTTGGAGAACACATTTTAATAACTGCCAAAAACATAATTTCTAACTTGCCTGTGCATGGATGTCGTGACATGTGAAAAGAATTCTAGAACCTTCAAGTCCCTATAAACATGGGTAAACAACATCCATATAAGAAAAAGAAATTTCCTACAAAATTAGCAAAGCTACGTAAGTAAGCATATGAATATTATTTAGTTATTAAGTTATTTTTTATCACAGTAATCGGAAGGTCAAAAAACCAAAAAGTTGTTTGTTTATGATAACCCAAATCAATGTTTAACAACAAGGTAAAAGAAAAGGCACCTACGTATTTAATTTAAAGCAGTAGATTACTTCAAGTACTTCATCCAAAAAAAAGTGAACAGAAAACAACCCATCCAACAAAAAAGCTCCATGCAAACTCCTTCAAATTAAAAGATAGGTTAAATTGTCATTTTGGTTCCTCTAATTCTTTGACCATCTTTTGTCGTTTTTTTGTCACAGTCCATACAAAGAGAAAGCCCAGCCGCCAATCTGTCAGTCCCAAGAATTCGACAGCCAAAGAAACCACGCATATCCCCACCCATCGCTGGAATCCGCCACCCTTTATCCCACGTGTAGGCGCATGAGAGAGAGCGCCATTCCACCTTCAGTCGCCTGGGTTTGTAGCAGCTTGAGTTTTCTGGTTGTCTGTGTCGTTGGATTCGACGATACCAACTTTGCTTCTCTTGTGTTTTGCTATTTGCGTGAGGTTTGGTTAGTACTATTTCCATTCAGGTCTGGTTGTTTGTTTCTCTTGGGGTTTATTTGATGTTTGTGTGTACTCAAAAGATCATCTATCTTGACCTTTTAGAACAACTCAACTTTTTAAATCACCATTTCCATATTTTCATTCTTGAAAATGACTCCATACTTTCCTACAATTATTCCAAGTTACATGAAATATCAGTGCAACTAACTTTTATACAGTAAAAAGATTATATACCACCTGTTTTGTGGGGCAAAGGCAATTTTGTTTCTAACATAGACTAATATGATGTCGTAGATTCAGAAAGATACTAATATGGAAACAAGAGTTCCGCCCTAAGACCTAACTGGACCAAAAAATGAAAATTAAAAAAAAAAGAAGCGGGAATGAAAGATGCTAATTACAAGTTAAACCTGTTGAACAAAAATGTCCCAGAAAAGCGGTCCTATTATAGCAGTCTGCCAATTGTGTATATGCAACACATCAGGCTTCTTGCCAGATTTCACAATATAATCCAATGCTGCCCGAGAAAAGTACATAAACCTGAAAACAGGAAAATAACTAAATAGATGAGATAAAGAAACATGCATTTGTTTCTTTAGTTAAGATTCATAATGAGATTTTAGACTAGAATCTTTTGACGTTCATCTCAAGTTACATTATATTAAAGCATGGATGGTCGAAGGTCAGTGATCATTCGAAACATAACTTCACAATCACTCCGATTATCTTGTAGGCTGGTCAATGACCATTCTGGTACGGAATCTAAATCCTAGATCAGTTTGATATCCTAAATTTAGTAAGAGATAATATAATTGTGCATAGAGATGACAATCTTAATTAAATTCCATTCTTTGTAGGGCTTGCAATAGACCTTAATTTTCAAAGACTCGGGATGTCAATACGGTAGGAGGGAAATAGCATTAATTTTTATATTCTACACTTCTTGACACAATTGAATGCATATCTAAAAACTGATACAGGCATTCAATAAGAATGGACAGATTTTGTATTCTGCGGATTGCTCAAATTGCATAAGAATGTCTTGTTTTGGTAGCCATAAGCAGCCTCAGACAACAGTGGGAAAATAAATCTGTCGATTAGGTCTACTTACCGTTCAAAATCATCAGAGTATCCATATGCCTTCTCCCGGTTGAAAAATGATGAGTAATACAAAGGTTGAATGAAAGTAACCCCTATGCCACAGATTACCCTGTTCAAGGATGTGAGATACGACTAGCTTCCGATGCCCATGCTAATTTTACATTTCAAGTAGTTTTAGAAAAAAAAAGAGAATCAATTAGACAATCCAGACTCACCCAGTCCATATTTTGTTTCCATGTAGTTGACCATTATAATAAGAATAGTACTCCACCTCAGTCTCTCGTATCCCTTGAACCTCATTTAGGTCCATGCTTCCATACCTTTTTGTCAATAAGAAACCCAACTCTCATTGAACAAATAAAAGAATACAGAAGCATACAAAAAACAGGCCCGAAAGAAAAGGGAGCCAGAACAACTACAAAAAGGGGTTAATCCAAATAATAACAAGAATTGATGAAATCAATTAACAAAGTGGAGGCCTTTACTTTGGTAAGATAACCTCCACCAAGTTGCCCTTTCTTTGTAGAGCTTGAGATAACCCTGTTACAAATGATGCCACTGCTCCAAAAGAAGCAATTGGAGCCATTTCAGTACAAATGTGAACGATGTGAAAACCATTCCTGAATTAAAAAGAATGCTGTGAATTGTTAGTTTAAAATAAAATTAAGAAATTGACTCAGACGGGGAAGGAAAGTGTTGCACATAGAAGACTAATGAAACTATTGTCTGAGGCGTGCTAGAAGCACAGCATTTCAGTTGCAGTCAAGTAACACTTTGTCAAATTATAGTATATACATGAGCTATAGCTTTCAAGGATTAAGTTATCAATATATAAAGGTGGTTGTAAGAAAATCTATGACTTCGCAGTATTTTTGTATGAGAAAACTGCATATTGATAGACTATAATAAATAAATAAATTTGACTTGGAAGGGAGAGGGAAAATGGAATACAGGGAAGATTAATGAAACTATAAGAGTCTGAGGAGTGTTGGTAACACGACACAGCAACTGCAATAAAGAATCTCTGTCAAGTTATTGTATGTACGTGTTACATAACTTTGAAGGACCAAGTCATCAACATATCAAGGCTGTTGTAAGAACATCTATAACTTTGCTTTATTTCACTATCAATTGCGTCTTCAAATGAAATTCAGCAACCGATGAATATTTACAATTCAAAGCAAGAAGCTGAACATCATACATGCAATAAAGACTCTACTCCAAAGGTTAACACCAAGCTAAAATTCAAAACAGTAATCACTAAACTTGACATTCTATGGAGAAAGTTTACCAACTTAGACGCATTGACCTAATAGCACAATGGAATTCTCTGTTGGTTCTTAAGCAAAAGGCATGCACAAAAACAAAACACATCTTTAATATGTTTAGAATATTGAAAGTCCTGATGCATTTTCACAGTTTAAAGCATGATCTTCAGATGGTGAGAGGAAAAGAGGGACGATAAAAATGAACAAGAAACTCAATTAACAGCTATACTTATTTCTTCTGTCAGATAATTGACGTAGCTCTGCTAGTAGCTCAGCATCTTTTTTCTGCAGGATTTCGGGGAAAGCATCAAGTATGCTGACTTTTTGATCCATGATCAGTTGTCTCATTTGAGATGCCGCTCCAGAACTAATCGTGCCAGTGAGAACCATAGAATCAATTCGAAGTAGTAATTCCCAACATATTGATACCTGATCTGGTTGAAACGACAACCCCATGAAAACAACTTCAATCTTCCATGTATCTGTTGCCCTAAAGTTTTTTACTATTTTATCTAACTATATGACAAACTTTTGAAGTATAAATAAATAACAGAGAGAGACAAGCGAAAAAGGTAAAAGAATATTATCCACAAGAAACAAGGCATCACATTACAATGAGATAAAAAACACAAAATCAGCACTTTGAAGTAATCGAGGATTAGTTACATCAGTTAGTTAGGTAACATAGGATTGAGTCAGAAATATTTGTCACCTTTTCTAGCCATAGCCTGCTTTTCAATCTCCAATTCCTCGATCCTTTCTAGCAGTACTTTTTTCTCGCTGATAGCTTTATTCAGCTCCTCTACAGCAAGGGCACGTTGTTTATCCAAGGACAAGATATCTGAGTAACACAGTCTATATGAGAAGAATGCCAGCAAAGGGTCTTGAATGGAGTTCATAAAAGTACATGAAATGCAAGTTTTGAAGCAACGAATTTAAGAATATGAAACATTAGAGCAGATACTTCGCTGAGCTTCTCTGAAGAGTTGCCAAATTTCACTGTTTTTTGCCCGAAGTTCTCCATCTGCTGACTAATGAGAAAAGAGAAAATTTATCAAATTGACTAGACGAAAAAGTAAATAGACAATATCTGAGGCCATGAGGACTTACCTTCGCCATCTGTGCACCCCCGCGTCTTTCGAACCTAAAGTTAGATTGCATATACTCAAGTTTCCATAGATGATAAAGCTACTGAAATACGAAAAGCACCTAGAGATAAGTGCCAAGGCAAAAGAAAGCCAAGAATGTTTAAGAAAAATTACTCCGATTCCGATGACACGTTAATCAAGCCGCTAAGATCTCCATCTCCGCTGAAACAAATAGAGAGCCTAAATAGTCAAGAAGAGAAACACTAAAGAGTCAATTAAATTATTGTCCGGCTAGGAGTAAAAGCATTGACAGTGTCACCAGCCTAAGCTCAAATTAGCTCTTACATTAAACTATGAACTGGAAAAACAACGAGGAAGGCACAAGCAAGAGCGAGATAAACATCGTGTGATTTTAAAGCTCTTTTCTCTTAAATTGAATACACCACCAACTTCAAACCTCCAACACAACAAACTGAACAGGGGAGACCATATTATAGCAGTGTGGCAGGCATAAGAATCAAATGCAACTCAGCACGATTACAACAATTTAACGAGACTAACTAAAATCGAGGAAACAAACAAAACGGAATTGAAAACCGTAACAGGAAACTCACCTTGAGCAACAGAGAGTTCCAGCTCGATCACCAGCAGATCTCGAGTAAGCAGCGGTACATTTTGGAAAGGGAAGATGGAAAGAGAAACCAGTTGTGGTAAGTGCATGGATAGCCATTCTTCTCAGCCTCAAAAGCTCGCCCACAGTGTATGACTACAGAGAATGGCGATTAAGCTGATTAGCGCTGAAAGAGCAAAATAAACGCCCTCGGAGACGGAGGCAGGCAGAGTTCAGCTTTGGCAGCTTTGCGTGGACACGGTGACCTCTGAGTCAAGTGAGCTCTCCGTCGTAACACGTAGGCCACTCCCGGGAAAGGAGGATGATAAATAAAAAGAGAGCCATACAGGAGGGGATGGAAGTTGCAAGTTGGAACGTGATTTCCTTCTTTTTTTTTTTTTTTCTATTAAAACATATTCAAAATTACATTTTGTTTTAAAAATGATTTTTTTTTCCCCTTCTCTACTATGTTTATAAATTTTAGGGAATGAAATGTCTAATACCTTATTGAAAACATTGGTGAGGATTATCTTATAGCTATGATTAATTTAGTCTTTCAGGTAATTTATATTTTTACTTGAAATAAGTTCAATTTTTAAATCCTATCGTAATGGATAAAAAATCAGTAGTAGAATATTATTGAGAAATGGAAGGTGAATTGGGTCGCCATAGAGCCTTAGGTAAATACAGGGTGTGACTTCAATGTTGTTGTGAGAAGTTAAAAATTAAATTTCGAGAACCTACAAAAAAAAAGGAAATCCCCATAATTTAAGCTGGCAGCAGCTTTTTGTGCTAAGTGAAATGAAAATACAACCAACCGTGAGACTTGAAGCGAAGGGGGGACTTCTTCCATGATTTCATCAAACTAACAAAAAATTTAAATGTGCCCATATAAAGTTTTCCCAAAGAATCACTAACTGCTGGCCTTTGCTCTTTCAAGCCTTCGCTCTTTTAAGCCTTTTTATTCTCGCACGCCTCTCCCGTTCTTCTTCTTCTTGGATCAGACGAAGTTGCTCTTCATCCTCCTTCCTAGCTATTTTTGCACTGTATGGCAAGTGATTGTGTAAATACAGCCTTCGATTATAAGAAGTAAATCTGAATCACAGGAATAGAGTAATTATAGCTTTACCTTCTTTTCTCCTCCATCATTATATCATCAAAGTTGGCCTCCATATCGCTATCATCATCATCTCCGGAAAATCTTGCAGGATTATATCTGCAGAGAAGCCAGAGACAGATTGTTCAAATGAAATGATACTAGAATATTTGTAAAGATAAGTTGGCCATCCTAAAACAATTACAAGAGTCAGAAACTATCGCATGTTACAAGATAAAGATGGAATAACTATTAATGATCAGTAGGTTTGGATTTCCATATATAACACAAAAACATCCATCCAACCATGGTATATCATGTCACAGGCTTTTTCTCCTCTAAAATTGACTTTAATTTCTAAACACAAAAGAGATCAAAGAATAAAAATCTATACCCGAACATTTTTCTGATTAGACTAATAGCTTCTCCACCATCGTCATCCTCCTCATCAGAATAAGGTCTTGCAGGTCTTTTCTTGGGTCGCTGATCATTCAAACCTGGACGAGACAAAATCTGTCTTTGTGGCTGTGGTTTGCTCGTCTGTTGGTTTCATAACACAGTTAAGAGTTAGTACATCCCGCACCAGCTAAGAAAATCATGTTTAAACAAATTGAAAGTGAGCTTAGCATGAGAGAGAATGAAACCTGTGGTCTCGATGATGAGACTGGCCGATTTGGTGCTATTTTGGCCTTAGAAGGTGGTCGCATCTCGTTCCTCTTATCTTCAAGCTTTTTGGCCGGTAATGGTCTGTGCACACCAGGTACAGGACTCTTTGTAGTTGGTAGAGAAGGTTTCTTCTGCATGAGAGCAGATGGGGCTTTTGGCGCCACCATTTGCCGACCAGGACCATACCCATTGTTGCTATTGCCCACAGGCCGACCAGGACCATTCACTTTGTTGCCATTACCCACAGGTCGACCAGGACCATGCCCGTTGTTGCTATTACCCATTGGCCGGCCAGGACCATTCCCGTTGTTGCTATTACCCAATGGTCTCTTAGCCTTCATCATTGACAAATTAGGATTGCCAGAAGATACTGGCTTGTTTTTGGACTGCATTTGGCCATTCATAGGAACAGATTTCTTAACATTTTGACTGACATGAATATTCTGACGAGGATTACCCTGAGGCTGTTTACTTTTAATGGGAACATGAGCTGAACGTGCCTCTAATAAAGAGTCAAAGAAACAATAATAAGCTTTCATTTTTATGCACATTTAAATTTTTTAAAAGATTAAAACTGACAACTACAATCAACACGATTGAACAGAAACATACCAGTACTTGGAGCAAAAACACTTGTTGAGGACTCCTTTGCAGGAGCAGGAACATTTGCGTCCTCGGAAAATAGAAAGGAATAGTCTCTGGTGTCCTTCAACGTTTGAACTTTCGTTTTCTTCTGTATGATAGTTCATAATATCCATCAAATCCAACAATGTGGATGAGGGGGAAAATAGTGAGTGTGTATAATCTAACAAAGTAATGCCAAAGTACCTCATTTATGATTTTTGGTGGTACCCGAGGCTTTGAAGCTACACTGTTTGAACCTGGACTCTTCCTATTCTGCCAGCACAAGCCTAATCATCAGGGCTAATATTCTTCAAAGACCATTAATAAATGCAATTAAAATTAAAAATTGCAAATGCAAAAGATTGTGTAAAAAAAAAACTTTTCCCACATTCAGTTCTAACAATTGGTTGAACATTTAAGTCTACATGTGATGAAACAGCCAGTCACAAATAACACGGAATAAATATGTTAACAAACCCAGCAATTTTAAAAATAACAGAAAATTGAATCAAATTTAAAAAAAGAAATATTTGTGTTATGAAAGAGTATACCAATACATGAATACATGATTTCAATGTTCAAGGTAGCTCAGTAATAAAAGAATCAAAACATGGTCAACTGACAAGTGATTTTTAAAATATTTATATTGAGGAAAAAAAACTTTTATATCCTATCTGTCTTTTGCACACATAAATACACAAAATTGAAACCAGAACCACCTATGGAGGTTAAGATACTTACATCATGAACGTGGTCAGAAACCCTAGAGGCCAAGTGCTGGTTTTCTAATAATGATTTGCTTTCTTGAATTACTCTTTGAGAAATGACAGGTTGAGAAGGTCCAAAGAATGAACCAAAACTGCAGCGATTAAAATAAAAATTTCAGGAATTAACATCAAATTTTAGTTGGTATAAAGGTGTATAGTTGGAAGTAATATGCATTTTAGTTCATGAAAAATTATTTAAAAAAAAGATCTTTTCACTGCTACAGCAACCAACTGCTGGTACATCTGTATAAAAAATAAAAGGAGAAAAAGATGCACAAGAAAACCTTGCAATAGATGTTTCAAAAACTTCCCAGCAATCTATAAGATCAAAAATTACTAGTCTCCTATTCATGTCATTAAAAAAACATGATATACCTACAATTCAAAGATGCACCACTAATTCAAATGTAAATTACACTTGCTTCATAATTATCTATGTTCCTTATCGTGTAATAGGACAACCACTTTTATACTGAACTAACTTCAACACTATAAGCTACCAGCATGGAAACATCACAAAATAAATGGACAAACATGTTATGACCAAAATTCCATCATGTCGTGCTTCAGGCTGCAACTTACTTGTCATAAGGAAGCTTCTTGTAGTGAGACTTCAAGTGAGACCCACCATCTTTTTTTGACTGCTTTCTAATTTTTTCTTTCAGCCGTTGCCTTAGTGCAAGGTATTCTAATTCTTCCTTGGTAGGCTTAGGGTCCTCTACCTCTTCATATTCCTCCTCCCCGTCATCAATTAGATCATCATCTTCATATTCATCATAATCCTCATAGTCTTCCATCGAATGTTCCATCTATGCTACACAACAAGATTAATGGTATAAACTTTCTGAGAATCCCCAAAAGAAATGAAACATGCATATTTTTTAACATCATTCGAGATGTCATCCCATGTTTCTAAAATCAAACATGAGAGCTTAGTAACATTCACACTTTCAAATACAAAACCACAAGAAGGAAATATAATCTCAAAGGGAAAATAAATAAACATGTCAATTAATGAGATTATTTAAAAGCGTCTTCTGAATCTGAATGAGAATTCTCCACACATAGAGTGGTTCAGAATTACATAAATTTAAAAGCTTCAAAAAAAGTAGAGATCATTCTGCATTACAATAAATAACGAAATTTCGAATCAAAATTACCTTATAGCCCGTTGAAATATCGCTTCCTCAATCCGACGGAAGAACCCCCTAAGCCTATTTTACCAAACCAATCCAAAAAGAGAAAACTGAACTAGAAATCTCGATTTAAAATAGAACTCAAATGAACGAAGTCGATTACGCGAAAGAGCCAATTCGGAAGAACAACGAGATCGATCTTGCAAGAACAAAAACGCGTCGGAAAAAAAGAACAAAAGAATAGATCGAAATCAATCAGTCAAACCAAAACCTAACATAACCCTAATCATTGGAAGAAAAAAAAAACACAGTAGAAATCGGAATGGGAGATCTCTAATACCAAAATGAAAAGTCATTGAAACAAAACAAACGTAACACAAAAATATAGCAAAAAGTAAATCGAGATCCAATGAATCGCACAATCAAAACCAGATCCAGATCGAACAAGAAAAAAAAAATTACCTAAAAAGGATAAAGAGAGCCTCGAATCGGATGGAACCCTTAGCGAAATCGAGCAAAAAGAATGGAGAACAAGGCGGGGAAAGGAGAAGTCTGGAGATGTGTAAACGAAATCCAATGGCGAACGGAAAAACGGGGGTTTCGCAGGGGTAAGATAGATATAATAGGGAGCGGAAGGAGAAGGGGCGAGAAGCGAAGGGGGCAGTACTAACGTGCGCTGGGGGCGTCGTGATCTATTCATATTGTGAGTCCGGGGGAGTCGAGTATGCGGAGGCCTCGTTGGTCCGTTTACAAAAATGAGTTTCCAAAGATTCATTATTAAAGCCAAAAAGGAATCCCTCCTTTTTTTCCTTCTTTAACTTCTTCCAATAATTCATCGTTTTCCGCGTAATTTTAGTTTTTGCGCGCTTTACTTCCATTTTTCTCCCTCTCTCTCGCTGTTTGCTAATCCGCGTTTGGGTTACGCGGGACGCTGTTCTGTACGTGCGTCTTATTGGGCCAATTGGTTAGCCCAAATGTATAAGTATTTGGACCTCACGCTCGGCCCATTTACGAGGATTGCTTTCACGCTCGGCCCAATATTATCCTTGTTATCCTAACTTCTTTCGGAAGTTAATTAATTATAGATACGTTACTTTTCTTTATATCAATGTATTCAAGTTTACTAATTTGCCCTCGACATAAACAACTATGTTTAAATTTATAAATTAGTTTCTGTTAATTTAAAATATATTTTCCTAATTAAAATATCAAGGCTTATCATGCAACTTGGGAGAAAATTTGTCTTTTTATTTTTATTTTAATTTCATATTTAAAATTTGTATCATTTTTTTTTTCAAGTTAGGGTTCAAACAAAAATAACCAACTGCACTCTTTTAATTTTTTCTTATTAGGATTGATATAAATAATTTAAAATAATTTGAATTTTTATTTTACATTGAAGTTTAGAGCTCTCACCCAAATGTTTTCATTAACAGTGATTTTATTTATTGATATTTTTTTTTATGGCCGATTTATAAGTTCTCATGGATTTGTTTTGGGCTTCTCAAAAAGCCTCATACTAAAAGAGTTAGTATTCACTCATAAATTCATGATCATTTCCTAAATTAGCCGATGTGGGACTTTCACCATCCAACACACTTTAGATCGTTGTTGATATTTCACTATTTAAAAATATGTAGTCGATGTATTTAAATTTCTAGATTTTTATAGCACTCTTTTGTAATTTGTAATTTGTAATTTGAATGCTATATAAAATTTTTCATAATGTTACCAAAAAAAAAAAAATGTCACTATTTTTCTATTGGGGTATTTTTATATTAATAACAAAATACTATAAATATGCATCCTATCGAAGTCAATCACATTATTTCGCAACATTATAGAAATTAAATTATATAATTTGATCAGATTGGAAACTGTTCATAACATTTGCGACCAACACTATGATTGATTTTTATTAATTTCTCTATTACTAGTTTAATTACACATAACAACTTTTAAAATCTAAATTTTAGACAAATAAACTCATACACAGAACAGTCGGCATTGTTTGTAGAAGTTCTGGATGTTGGATGATGAAAGTCCCACATCGGCTAATTTAGGGAATGATCATGGGTTTGTAGAAGTTCTGGATGTTGGATGATGAAAGTCCCACATCGGCTAATTTAGGGAATGATCATGGGTTTATAAGTGAGGAATACTAACTCCATTGGTGAGGCCTTTTGGGGAAGCCCAAAGCAAAATCATGAGAGCTTATGCTCAAAGTGGACAATATCATACCATTGTGGAGAGTCGTGTTCGTCTAACATGGTATCAGAGCCATGCCCTAAACTTAGCCATGCCAATAGATTGACAAATCCTCGAATGTCGCGTGTTCGTCTAACATGGTATCAGAGCCATGCCCTAAACTTAGCCATGCCAATAGATTGACAAATCCTCGAATGTCGAACAAAGGACTCCAAAAAGGAGCCAAGCCTCCTTGAAGGTACGAAGGCAGTCAAAAATGACTAAGACTCCAAAGGAGTCAAGCCTCGATTAAGGGGAGGCGTGCTTTGTTCGAGGGGAGGTGTTGGATGATGAAAGTCCCACATCGGCTAATTTAGGGAATGATCATGGGTTTATAAGTGAGGAATACTAACTCCATTGGTGAGGCCTTTTGGGGAAGCCCAAAGCAAAACCATGAGCGCTTATGCTCAAAGTGCACAATATCATACCATTGTGGAGAGTCGTGTTCGTCTAACACTGGACACAATAATTTTCACTTTTATCATACCTCATCAATTAGAATTCCATTATTTATGGATCAAATCATATGTCCAAGACACGTTTTTTATGGTATTGAATTTAATTTATTTTTACCCATTTGATCGATTCATCTGATTACAGCGAAGACGATAATAATAAGAAGAAGAAAACAAATCTTCAGAAATTGCATAAAATATATTGCATTAAATATGTCTCCCTTATTTCCCAACTCTTTGCCTCTGGAATCAAATGGAAACAGAAGCAAAACAGCTTCCTAAACAAAATTGGAAGAATCAAAAAAGAAAATACAGTAATAAATGAATGATTTCCACGTCAGCAAAAGCTATATATATATTAAAATTTGGGACCAGCAGCAAGGATTTCCTCTGTCAGAGTATTGTCTGTGCCAATCTTGTAATTCGTAAATGTCTCAAAATTATTCTTGAACAGAGTCGCCAGTTTCTGTAGCGTTTCTTTATACGCACCCTTGTCCGACCACTGCAAAAATCCCAAAATCAAAATCAGCGATAAATGTAAGCAAATATTTCACTAGCCATAGCGTAATTGAATGCCACTTTTCTTACGGTGTTCATTGGGTCCAAAATCTCGGAGGGAACTCCTTCAATGGCGGCGGGGATTTCAAGTCCAAAAACTTCAGTTTTACGGAACTGGGCTTTCAGGAGCTCGCCGGAATGAATGGCGTCGATGATTTTTCTGGTGTAAGAAAGCTTAATACGGCTACCGGAGCCATATCGGCCGCCAGACCAGCCAGTGTTGACGAGCCAGCCAGTGGCGCCGTGCTTCCGCATCTTGTCGGCGAGCATGGCGGCGTACTTGGTCGGATGCATCATTATGAAAGCCGCCCCAAAGCAAGCCGAGAATGTCGCTTGTGGCTCTTTTATGCCGTCTTCAGTTCCAGCCACCTATAATTTCCAATTTCACTCAATTCCAACAAAGAGTAAACAGTAAAAAAAAACAAAGTCACCGTAAAAAAAGTGATTTTTTTTTTTACCAATGCAGTGTATCCACTGATGAAATGGTACATGGTTTGAGCCAAATTGAGCTTGCTCACGGGAGGAAGAACACCAAATGCGTCGCAAGCCAATAATATAACGTTCTTTGGGTGTGGGCCCACACATGGTATCTTAGCGTTCGGTATGTACTCGATTGGATACGCTGCTCGGGTGTTCTCTGTATAAAAAATATTAAATAATTAATAATAATAAAATTAATTTAATTAACGTCTAATTCAGTTATACCTGTAACTGAATTGTCCGAATAGTCAACCTCTCTAGTGTGCTCTTCGAACACTACATTCTCCAACACTGTTCATCCAAATAATTTTAGCGAGGATTAGTTATCAGGATTAAATACTTCAAAAATTATTATTATTATTATTATTATTACCGGTTCCGAATTTGATGGCGTTCCAAATATCAGGTTCTTTCTCACGAGAAAGGTCAATGCATTTAGCATAGCAACCTCCTTCGATGTTCGATACGCCGGTGTTAGTCCAACAATGTTCGTCATCACCAATTAAATATCGGTTGTGATCTGTGGATAAAGTAGTCTTTCCCGTCCCTAAAACAAACATATTATCGTTAAAAAACGTTAGATGGATTGAGGTATTCGGAGGCTTAATAGGTTATGGCATACCCGATAATCCAAAGAAGAGGGCTACGTCGCCGTTTTTGCCCATATTGCAGCCAGAATGCAAGGAGAGAATCTCTCGCTTGGGCATGAGATAATGCATGAGACTAAACAACCCTTTCTTCATCTCACCAGCGTATTGGGTTCCAAGGATCACCATTTCCTTCCTTGCCAGATTCATATCTATGCTAGTTGAAGATGTCATGTAATGAGTGAAACGGTTGCATGGGAACTGCCCAGCATTGTATATAGTGAAATCTGGTCGCCCAAAGTTCGTTAACTCTGCGTCAGTTGGTCGAATGCACCTGTGATAAAAAAAACTTATACTTAAAAGTAGACAATATTATATTATTGTTGTAAATTCGTGATTTCTAATTTACTTACATGTTGTGCATAAACAGCGAGTGGTAAGCTCTCGCGGAGACAATTCGAACTTTGATTCTGTTCTCGGGATCCCAATTCAAGAATTGGTCGTTGACAAAGACCTTGTCAAGAGAGTTCAAGTAATCAACGGCTCTCTCTCTGTTGATCATGAAAGTGTGCTCATCCATTTCAATGTTTGGAGATCCCCTGCAACCCATAACAAATAAGAGATCATGACCTAATTTAGTAAAGGAAATCAATCTAAGACGGCGTCGTTTTTACTTACTTTCCCCACCAGAGCTCTTTTGTGGTATTCTCATCCTTAACAACTCGCTTGTCTCTCGGAGATCGCCCGGTCTTCGCTCCCGACAGCGTCGCCAATGCTCCAGTGGATGTCATAAACGACCCCTTCTCATGCCTTATGGCCTGCTCGTACAACTCTGTAAAACGACACCGTCTACGTTGACCTTAACTATGACGTCATTTCATACGGTATAATATTAAATATTGATTTAAAACCTGCAGGGGAGAGGTTATAAAGCACGTGTGTGAATTTCATAGAGCTGTCGCTGATATTAATAGTGGGTACAAGTTGATGCTGCGCCATGTGTGCAACCTTGGATCTTCCAGTTTTCCGGGCCGGGTCTCCTTTAACCACATTCGGCCCGGTTTCTCTTGTCAACGATGCTAACGAAGCACTGGATTCCAACCAAAGAAATATTAAAATAATGATATTATCATACGGCAAAACAAATCGTGGTTTTGTCTGTACCTGATTGACTGGAGCTGTTGCCTTTGGCGATCTTCTTCGGAAAGCGCAGCGACGGCGCCCGGAGACGAGTCGATCGGAGTACTGGGTGACGATCGCTTCTTTTGTAGGCAATGAAGTTCGTCGATGGTTTGAGCCTTGATCGGCGACGAGCTGTCGTCGTGGCAAACTTCATTCCCGCTCCCGTTCGCCATCTTCTTATCGGCCATCTCGTTGCTACGAACGGTTCTTTAGAGGCTTTGAAAAGAGTGAAGAAGTTTGATGAATGCGTGATTAGTGTCGTGGGGATGGATGCCCTTTTAAAGGCTTCACGAGCACACCGCTTTCTAACCATGCGACATACACGGGTGGGCCTAAAGTTTGGATTTTGGGAATGTAAGATCCGGTGGTCTCGGAATCATTGTATCTCTTTCTTTGGTCTTTTGCCAAATAAGGTCAACCCACCTGATTGTTGGGAAGATGCAGAATTTTTCATGTTTGCCTGCTAAATTGGTTCGGTTGAACCGAAAATTATTTATTTATTTGCTTTCAGCCCTTTTTATTTATTATTTTTATTATTATTATTATTATTTTTTTTTTTGTCGTCAAAATTAACCATACTAATTAAATTCTTAAAGAGTTTAGATACAATATAACACACATTTTAAGAATTCATAAATTAAAATGGTTAGAATCGTATCTATATTAACCCTGAATTTTTAGATTGAATTTCTTTCCCTAAACAAAAAATAGTTGGTTAATTTAGCATTTTTATTTAATATTGATATTTTGATTATTAGTTCAAAATATTAGAAATTCCAATAGATAGTTATATAAAATATTAAGAAGGTGTAATTAATAGACGAGATATCAAGAGAGATGAATGAGTATCAACTTGAACTTTGTTTCATAAGAGGTGAATTGTGAATTGTGATATTCAAAGTTAGTTGTAGTTGGGGAGTATAATTAAAAATTCTTTATATAAGAGTGTGAAACTCTCTCCCAATTGTGTATTAAAAACCTTTTGGAGAAGCCAATGAAGAAATTGAGTTATAAAGAGATGAATTGTGAAAACTCACATTAATCGAAAAAGAGTACGAAATAATTTTTTAGAAGGACCTGAGATGAAACATGAAAAGTAGACCCCCCCCCCCAAAAAAAAAGTCCCGCTAGTGGAATGGCACAGATACAATTTAAGGAAATAGAGATTTAAAAGAGTGATCAAATAGACCGAAAGCCCAGGTCAGAGTCCAGCCCATTGTGAACTCTGTTCTACATTTCAGTTTTCCGGCCTACGGTTAGCCGGAGGAGAAGACGTAGAAATAATTGCTTGATTTTCTGGTCCGAACGCTCACGGTTAAGATGGATTACGAGAACAAGCTCGTCCTTGCTCCTATGGTTCGCGTTGTAAGTTCGACGAAATTATCGTATCCACTGCTTGAGTTATTCTTGTTACTTAGTCAAGTATCTCTCTTAATCTTAGGAGTTATTTCTTGCAAAATTCTCGCTCGATTGTTTCGGTTTCGACGTCAAGCAATGTTATGGGATTTAGCTTAGTTCGTGTTGTTTAGGTTCCTCTGCTTGCTTTATCAGTATATCTTTCAATCGTAGTTATTTCTTGCAAAATTCCCGCCAATTAAATCTTTTTCGTGTAGTCTTTTGTGATTGGTCCTTCTTGTTTTCAGGGGACTTTGCCGTTTAGATTATTAGCTGCACAATACGGTGCAGACATCACCTATGGAGAGGAAATTATTGACCATAAGATGATCAAATGCGAGCGTAGAATAAATGGTACTTTTCCTCCTCTCTATTGTTGAAGTTTTTTTAAGGTATTGGTTTTCAATTGTACTTTCTCACTAAGTGCAAAAATCATGAAATACAAGTGTTACTATCTTCGTATGAAGTCTTTTTCACTGAGAAAAGCTTTGCAATACGAACGGACTCAAAAATGAACGCAGGCAGCGGAAATGCACCCAACTAGAAAAACTCGCCTTTATGTTAGGGGCACTAAAATGGAATTTTGATCCGATAAAATGATGTGTTGAATTCAACCATAACTTCGAAATTGGGAGAAATCCAGGCCTTTTCTCATTCTATTGATATTTATGAATGTGTTTGTTGGACACTATCATTTATCCATCTTTCAATTATTTATCCAAAGCCCAAACAATATGTTGGAATTTTTACCTTTCTTCTATAAATACGACTTCAATTAGAAGAAAAAATGTTGTGCTTGGTAAGTGGCTGAGAAAATGAAGGTCACAATAAGCATAGCCTTTTCCCTTTTCTTCACCAATTATAAAACTTCTGATACTTCTCTTTGTCATCTAGAGCACGTCGGTGCAGTTGACTTCGTAGAAAAGGGGACAGACAATGTTGTTTTCAGGACTTGCAGCCTAGAAAAAAATCAAGTTGTTTTTCAAATGGGTACTTCTAATGCTGTGAGGGCTTTAAGTGCTGCTCAACTAGTGTAAGTTCGTTACTCCCAATTTTTCTTTGATTATACAGCCTAATTCTTGCAATTTTGATGCTTTTATGATCCTGCGAGTATCAAGTCCCAGCCTGCCTGTTCCTTACTCCGCACAAATTTGTAATAATTTTTTTTATTCTGCAACTAAGTGTCTTTATTAATAGGCTCTGTTATAGATCGAACTAAATTTTGGTAGTAATTTTAGTATTTTTTAAAAAGTTATTCAATTAACGGGATGGATTTGATTTTTCTTTCTTAACAGGCTCAGTTATGGATAGAACTTGTTTTTTAGTCGCTAGTTCTCTTTTTTTATTCATTTAATGTGATGCTCGTGATAACTTCATGAGATTCTATTGGCTAAGTTGATTATTTCCTGTTCTCTTTCATTTTAGGTTTTGATTAGGTACTAATTGGGAACAATTAAGAAATTTTCAGTCCAATTTCTTACAAAATGAAACCTATTAATCGATTAGGCATAGATTGCTACCCAAGATTGGATGTGGGTAAATGGTCTTATTTTGTGTGAATAAACATTATGATAGGTTTTTGTTCCTTGATAGAACTGTTTGTTTTCATTGTCTTTCCCTCGGCTATAGGCTTTTAGTTAAGGTTTAGCCAAACTTGTTCAGTTCGTCTGCCAAAGCAACATCCAATGGTTGCTATTATAACAGATCGAACCTGTGGTACAAAATTTTGGCAAATTAAGAGAGTTCCTATTCAATTTGACTGTAAGAATGGGTTATTTATTGATGCTTTTAAATGTTCTCTTAGTAATTGAAAGTTGATTTCTGTGAGCTGTTGCATTATATTGCTAGGTTTTTGGTGCAGGCTATTTGTACTTTAGCGTTCTCTGTTTTATTGCTTTGCTTGGTTTACTTATTATAAGTCATGTGTCATCATTGTACTATATTGTTATTGAAGTCTATACTTTCTTTAGGCCCTATTTGATGATCATTTTGTTTTTGGTTTTCTGATTTTGAAAATTAAACTTGTAAACACTGTTTTCACGTGTACTTTTTTTTTTCTTTATCACCTATTTTCTAAAAACATTTAGAAGTTCCAACCCAAATTTTGGAAACCAAAAATAAGGTAGTGTTAAAAAGCTTGATTTTGCTTTGCTTTTGAAATTTTGTCTAGAAATCAAATGTGTTGTTAAAGAAGGAGAAAAACTTACTAAAAACTCGTGAGGAGACACTTGTAATTTTTGAAATGCAGAAAACCAAAAATAAAATTGTTTTGAAACCGGACCTTAGTTATTTCAAGCTGATTTAATTACCATTTTTTATGATATGAGAGAATTAGGTCTTTAGTCAGAGAAGAATGTTTCTTTTTCTAATGAAGCTATATTTGTATAAGTGATGGAGAATTTTCCTTTTTAGATGTCAAGACGTTGCTGCAATAGATATCAATATGGGTTGCCCTAAGTCATTTTCCATCAGTGGGGGCATGGGTGCTGCACTGTTGAAGAAGCCAGACCTTATTCATGATGTACGCAATTCTTATCGTTACGAATTGATATAGTTTTCTAAATTATTCTCTTTCTTCTATATTTGTAACATGTTACTTACCTATTCACCTTTTATTTGTATGTTTTCTTAATTTAGATTTTGACAACATTGAGGAGGAATTTGGACATTCCAATTACCTGTAAGATTCGACTTTTAAATTCATCTCAGGATACAGTGGAGTTAGCTAGGCGAATAGAGACTACTGGCGTTTCAGCTCTTGCTGTTCATGGAAGGTGATCTTCTGGTTTCTGCAGTTTCCTTCTATTTAATACTATCATGGACTAGCGAACTTCTTCAAGAAATTTATGCTTTCTGGAATCGATTGAGAATGGTTCTTCTCATGCAAATTGATCCCTTTTCCCTTTCTTGGTAAAATTGGATTGGTTTGGTCGTCTATGTTAGTGCATTGTTCTCAATGTTAACATGGCCATTTCATTTTAAGCTCACACTGACATTGTTGACGTTTTCTTAAACATGCTATCTGAGAGTGGAGGTGATAAATATGTATCAACCTTAAAAGACTGAATTCTGTTGTACAGAACAATGAAAGAAAGGCTCAAACGGTAGAAGCAGATATGTCATATGTCCGTTCACTAGCTAGTTATTTAGATGTAATTTTGTGGACGTTCATTAGCTAGAAACTATTAGATATAATTTCATGCTTTAAGGAGGGTAGTAATTTGGATGAGTCTCTTGCATTTTAAGGCTTACAATTTTTTTTTTCATAAGGGGATAGTAGGTTTGAGAGATTTCTAGGAGACTACTGTGAGAGGCTGCTTGTTTATAAGTAAAGGAGGCAGATTGTATCATTTTGGGTTGACACTGAATTGTATTACATCAGTTAGAAAGACAAAAGGAAAAATAAAAAATAAAAAATACCGAGTTGTATTTCATCAGGGAGAAAGAGTAAATTAGATTTGGCCAGACCTTTTAGTTCCAAGTGATACTTCTATAAGTTCTGTATGTGCTCTTTGTTTTCATTTTATTTTAATATGTCTTTGTAGTCGTGCTCGATAACTTGCAGAAGAGTTGCAGATAGGCCCAGAGATCCAGCTAAGTGGAGTGAGATTGCAGATGTCGTGGCAGCATTGTCTGTCCCGGTTATTGCGAACGGTGATATATTTGAGTACGAAGATTTTCACCATATCAAAGTTGCTACAGGTTTGCTCAAAAGGCACAGTTTTATGGATTTCTTGATGATGCCTGAATTTCTTTGAATATGATCAAAATTATTTGAATATGATCCCAACCTGAAAATATAATTTAACCGGTTAAGATATTATAATAAAAAGTTTGCATATATGGTTTAACTCTATATTATTTGAATATGATGGTTTCAAATAATATGGTTGGGCTGATTGAGATGCTATTTCAAGCCGTTAAAGTTTTTAGTTGTCCGTTCATGATCTCTTGCTTTATATATTAAAACAATTTGGTATTGCTCAAGGTGCTTCGTCAGTAATGGTTGCTCGAGGAGCGCTTTGGAATGCTTCAATCTTCTCTGAAGATGGCAAATTACCATGGGAAGAGGTGAAAAGAGAATATGTTAGAAAGGTGAGGTACATATCATGTACGCAGTACATTTAGTCAATGAATCAATTAGAGTTGATGCTTTAGAGCTGTACACTGCCCTTGTAAGTATATATAGATGCAGACACACATTCACGAACTGAATTTGAAGCGACTGATTTGTTGTGTTGAACTCAGAGCATCTTGTGGGACAATGATATCAAAAGTACAAAGCACACGCTAAAAGAAATGATAATGCATTATTCTTGCCTTGAACTGCCAGAAGGAAAGGCCGTGATAAAATCTGATACATTGGCAGATCTAGCGTAAGTTTTTTTCTTTATTTTTTTGCTGTTAATTTATAATTAATAGTGCCATCTTGTGGGATGCTAGACGTTCTTCGTGATCATTTTAATTTTAATTGCATTTGAACTGATATAGCACGTTAGTTGGAAGCTAATCATGCCTCTTTTATTTTATGTATGATATATAGGAAACTTTATGGTGAGGAAAAGTACAATCAATTTGTTCAAGAGAAGCGTTTGTTCGATGGAAGTAGATGACGTCGTTCGTAGTTCGGATCAGAGGCGCTGCGTTCAGATCAGAGGCGCTGCTCATTGCTTCGACATGGAAACTGAGAAACGAACAACCTCGGTACTCTCTCAGTAAAACCCATTTTATTAGTTATGGAGAAGTTGGATGTGCTCTACAGCAGCTCAATACTAACAACATATTTCTTACCCTTTCATTCTTGTCGTGTAAAAAACACAGAGTTATTAAGCTGCCGCACATGATGCCTGGCTTTATTTGCTTTTCTGGAATGCGTATTTATGGTTCTAGGATGTTCCAAGTTGAAAGCTTTGGCTTATTGTTGCCAAATTCATCCAGTTCGTTGATTTCAGTCAATCATTCAATCAATCAATGGGTTAATATCTTTTAAAATTAGTCTTGGGATAAAAACACCAATCATGAATTCATTTTACTCGTAAACATTTGACCAAATTGACACGACCCATACCATAAGTTTGCCAAATTTTCTATCTAATTACCATTACAATCTTCTAATTTGTCCATGGAGCGAGCACTCATTAGTTGAATGCTCAATAATTGTGTTCAAGCCTCTAATTCCATTTGTCACAATCAATACTCTTGCGGCAGCAGGATAATAATTGTGCAGCATTTGCTTTAATCCATCAAACATGTTGTCCGTGAAAAATTTAGACTTCGCGGATAACGTTGGTGTATGTTTAAGCCTCAAGTTGTGTTTATGAAAAAAAAAATATTTTAAAAAACATGAACAAGAAAATACATTTAAAAATAGTTTGAAAAAAAATAAATAAATTTAAATATCATATAAATAAGTATATGAGAATTTACTATTAATCGCATTCATTTTAAAATTCTAACTTTAATAAGATTTTTAAAATTATAAGTAAAATAAAAACCACGGAAATTTTTATTAAAAAAATATGAATTATTAGAACATTAATAATCTAATTGCATATAAATAAAAAGAAAACGACAAGTTGAGATTTATTTTGTTGGAAGAATCTTTATAATGTATACAAAAATTAATTATTTAAATAAATAAAACATAATTATCCGTATTTTCTTCAATTTTATATAAAAGCTGTATACGGAAACGGAAAGGGAAAAATCCCTCTCATTCGGGTCCTTGCTTCCTACCAAGGTTTCTTCTCTCCTCTTCTTGCTGATCTATGTATGCCCTTCATTTTCCTCATACTATATTCAGATCTAATTTTTATATGTTCTTGCATTTCTGTTGAATCGAGATTCATCTTCTTTTCGGGATAAATTTCTTTTCCTATCTGAATCGATTTGCTCTCGCTTTCTATTTTCAGATTCGCATCTCTTCTTTGCCTTGATTCCAATCCTTCAATTTCTTGTCTTTGAGTTTTGTTTTTTTTATATGTTTACTTGTTTCGGTTTCATAAGAACATATATTTATCAAGATTTCGAGGTGATTACAGATGTTGGGAACTTCTTTTGGAGTGCGAATTATAGATTTTTGTGTTTTTTGGCTTTGAGTGTTTTGTTTTCTTTTGTTCCCCAATTTTTGGGGTTGTGCAAGTTAGTTCATTATCCTCGAAGTTCTTTTCCTCGGCTTATATCGTCTTACTTTGGATATCGTCTAGTGCATATGTTAGTAGTTTCTGTGTTCAACCTACTGTTCAATCGCTAGGTAATTATCGACTGATAGATTGTATTTGACATCGGTATCTTTTTCTTTCGTTATAAATTTTCAAGGGAGCAGTTTCTACCATTTAATTTTCTTTATATCCAGTGTTTCGGATGGTTGCACTCTCACGGTACAAATTTCATTTTAATAGTTTTAGTATACACACTTTGCGAGGGTATTTTATCTTCAAATACCACATATTCATGTATGACAGCTCTTCATTATCGATTAATATATTCTGTACAATTACTTTGTTTTTCCTCATCCGTAATTTGGTCTCACTATCACTTGGGCTCCCAATTACTTGATCTTGTTTATGCATTAAGCTTGTTGCAGAAGATTTTGTGCCACTGCCAAATCGGTCCCTAACAAAACTGTGGTTGAGAATGAAAATTGATTTATATTCCCTTCCCTTTTTCCACCACTTATCTCCTCATCTATTGTTCATCTGGTGTTTGAAGTGTATCTTTCAGATAGAAGTGATTGACTCTCAGGAAAAAAAAAAAAATGTTAAAAAGTGATTGACACTGGATAGACTTCAGTCAGCTCTGCTACTTCTGTTGTCTTAAGCAAATGATCGTCTATATTATATTCTAAATGTGCAGTTGCCTTTTACTTAGGTGAAAATTGAAAATAGAGTTTTTTTTCCCAATATTGGAAAGGATCTCTGTAGTAATGCATATTCTGCAGAAGTGTTTGAACTTCAAGCTTTTCAAAAGATCCTTATAAGTATTTTTATTTAGAGTTTTTTTTCATGACTATTGACCTGTAGATTTAGATTCTTTCTTTAATTTTGGCTTCAAACAACATGCAAATACCGTTGGGTTTAGATATTTTGGGAGCTCATTGGTCCAAGTTTTTGAATTAAATGCATAGCAAGTATTTGGTAAAGAACCCCAGGTTGTCTTGATCGCTATTTTATAACGCCCGAGCAAACTATGCTCTTCTGTTCCTGGCAGTAGGTGTGGTGCCTCACATTGTTCACAATTATTGCTTTATTACAGCATTTGTTGTTAAACTAGGGTTAAATTGAGTCAAGAAAAGGAAAATCAGCCTCTTACTTGATTCTCCTTCTCTCCAATAGATTTGGTAAAATAATGGTGATGAGACCCAAGAGGAAGGTTTAGAGGGCAGTGATTTGAATGGTGTGGCAAATGGGAGTGGGATAGTGATGTTACGTCTTTAACTTTTGGATTTGTAGATGTGATTTTGTAGCTGTAAGTCTAATAAAGTGGCAAAGAGAAAGACTTGTATTTGAGCTCTGTTAGCGCTTTATATTTATATTTGCTCTTGATGACCAGTGATCTGTAGGTTTGGGTTCTTTACTTTTTTTTTTTTTTTTTATTCAATTAGTACATAACTTAGTTGAATCCCAATAACTTGGGAGCTCATTGGTCTATTAAAGCGGAAAACTGTCCACTTAGCCGAGCTGAACAAATTAGGCATTCACAACCTCCCTTGAAGGTAGTAGGGTTGTGGAACCCCTACTCTTACTAAAATAAATAAAATGGGAAACTGAAGCGGTGGAAACATTTTGGTCTATTACAATCTACTGGATTTTCTCCTATTACTTATTTGGATTTTCAGCTAAAAAGTAGGTAAATGATTCTACTTTAGAGTCTGATCTTCTCTTTCCTTAGTAGAACTCTAATAAATTAATGGCATATTGTATGCTTTCTCTTTTCCCTCCTTTCCTTTCTATTAGTATTTCTTGTCATTTTTGTCTCTGGCTTTTTTAGCTTCTTGATATCTTTCTGCTCCAATTTGTTTGACATGGGAATTTCTTTGCAGGAATTAGTCTAAGAAATGGAGTTGGACAGCATTAAAGATGCATTTGATCGTGTGACGAAGAAGCAGAAATTATCTTCTTCCAAAAGTCATGAAGTAGTTGATCAAATTCATCTGGAACTGGAGCAAGTGCTACAAAAAATACAGTTGGCTGATAATCCTGAATGTCCAGTTAATCTTAAGTCGGTTTTTTCTGAACTCAAAACTAAATTAAAAGATATTGCCCCACTCACTCAGCTTGAAAGCACGCAGAAGGAGTTGAATACCGCTCTGACCAAGTATCCAAAGCTTGTTGAGAAATCTTTCAATCCAGATATATCAAAAGCTTATAGAAATGTTGATTTTGATAGGCATACTGTTAACCAGATTATTGCTAGTCATTTCTATCGTCAGGGTATGTTTGAACTTGGTGACTGCTTTATTAGTGAGGCTGGCGAATCAGAATCTGCTGCCTCGATGAGATCTCCATTTCAGGAAATGTATCAGATCCTTGAAGCCATGAAGTCCCGGAATCTAGACCCAGCTCTGAACTGGGCACTGAATAACTCAAATAAACTTAATGAATGTGGGTCAGATCTTTTGCTCAAACTTCATAGCATGCAGTTCATGGAGATTCTACAGAATGGAGATAGACATGACGCTTTGAAGTATGCTAGGACGTACCTGGCCCCTCTTGCATCAAACCACCTGGCTGAACTTCAGAAGCTTATGGCTTGCCTCTTGTGGACTGGAAGGCTTGATTGCTCCCCATATTCCCAATCACAATTATTGTCAGTAACCAATTGGGAAAATGTTGCTGAGGAGCTTATAAGGCAGTTCTGCAATTTTCTTGGTCAGTCCTACGAGAGCCCATTGGGCGTAACAGTTGCAGCAGGGGTCCAGGGCTTGCCTCCCCTCTTGAAATTTATGAATGTCATGGCTGGGAAGAAACAGGAATGGCAATCTATGAAGCAGTTGCCTGTGCCGGTGGAGTTGGGCAGAGAATTTCAGTTCCACTCCATCTTTGTTTGTCCGGTGTCAAAGGAACAGTCAACTGAAGAAAATCCACCAATGTTGATGCTGTGTGGACATGTCCTCTGTAAGCAGTCTATCATGAAGATGTCTAAAAACAGCACAAAATCGTTTAAGTGCCCGTATTGTCCAACAGACATCGATGCTACACGGTGTAGGCAATTGTACTTTTGACACACACAAAAGTCATGGTTAATGTTGTATGAAACTTTCTCTCTTCAACTGAACCGATATTTGCTGGATTTAGTTGTATGGTGTAACAAAGGGGGTGTGAAATGGGGGGAAATGATGGTCAGTTGTGTACTGTTTGTTGCTGTATTGGTTGTAAATACATATTCTTTCTACGTGTTGGGAATTTAGAGCAACTCACTCCACAGACATCTTTTAAGTTCGGTAGATTTACAGCATGGGAGTTTGCTTAGCTGCTTCTGGAGCTCATCTCCTATCAAATAAATATATTTTCTCCATTTTTCTTTCCTACAAAGTATAATTGAGATCAGGGAAGCATGAGCACTAATCTTAGATATTAGATTTTTATCAATTGAGACATTTATATATCAGCTCTTGGGTGTTTTTGTGGCCTTTTCTTCAGGTGTTGGTTGGCCATGGGCCTAATTTCATCATCATTCGGCCTTGACGATGGCGATGGTGGATTTGTGGTTAGACCATTACAGATCCATGCTCCCAGTAAACCCCACTATTCCAATCAGAGACGGGCTACAGCAGAACACATCCGAGGAGAATATTGAAGGTGAGTTCATAATAGTACTTTTAAGTGAAGGAATTCTTTTTATCAATACTTTTGAAGAAAGAGCTTATTTCTTCTAGTAATGTTTTGGAGTACTTTTTTAAACTTTTATAGGTACTTACCAACCAAAAGTCTAAAACCAATTGCCACTGTTTTGAAAGTTATGTCAAAACCGATCATTCTTCTCTTACCTGTGTATATTGAAAAGTTCATACATTTCTTTGAAATCTATAGCCAATGATTTTACTTGTTCCTCTACTATTGTATATTCTGAACAGAATGATTCATGTGACATACCATAGAGGAGGACACATGAAAATTGGAGGGAAAAAATGAAATACTCGAGGAGTAAAATTTACTTCCTGATTACCAACTTTTACATCTTCTCATCTTGTTGTGTCTCATAAAATGGAGACCTTGTCTGCGCCCACAGACGTAGGGATGATGATGATGGAGCACTCTCCCCATTTTTTTATTTGAATAAATAGAATGGGCAGTGAGCACTAAGGGGGATGTCGATACCCACACACACTACTCTTATTATTGAATTATTCACCGACATGATTCATGCTCCTTCAGCCAATGCATTATCAAAACTAAAGCAAAAGAGCTTAAACCACTCATCATAATTGGTTCCAAAAGTCTGCGCAAATTAAGGAGGTCATTACCCTCAAAAAAGCGCAGTAAAGAAACCCTCAGGAAATGAAAGCTTAGAAAAGCCTCCCCTCTCAGCCCAATCCTTTTCTTACCTTCCCTCCTTTTTTAGTTTTGAAAGGCCGTTGAAAAGGCATTTTTTCCCCATTAATGTGTTGAGTTTTGTGCTGGCCTTGATATCAAAGATATTCAGTCCCTCCCTGTGATTTGTTTAAAAAGTGGGACTGGGAATGTTTTTGACGGTGGAATGGGAATCTTTCTCTAGAATTTATTCATCTCTAAGCCTATAATATAGTACGAAGATTCTTTCTTATAATAATGCTTGCAGTTTAATGTAGCTATTGAAGTCGTAGACCAAGAGCCATAGACCTTACTGATTCATTATTTTTCTCCTCGAACAAGCTCATATCATCCCTAAAAACTTGTGGGGTTGTACCTTGAAGATCAAAACTTCCCTCTCGACCTAACAAGCTAATGCCATCCCTAAAAATCTGGCTTTTTTCCCCCCCTCCTTTTGTGTATTTCTCTCATATTTGTAGCAGAAAGCTCTTACTAACCCAACTATAGGTAAGTCCTTTTCCGACCATGGTGAATTTCCATTTGAAATATGGTCGAGTTGGAGATGGAAATAATTAATTTTCTGAATCAATTTTTAATAATTGGTATGGGGAATAGTTTATTTGCCTTGTTCTGTACTCCTGTCCATTACACTTATCCCATTGCAAGTCTTTGTTAAGTTTATATATATATATATACATATTATTTAAGTAATGGGTAGTAAAAATCAAGAAAAATGGTTGGGTTTGACAGGGGAAAAGAAATGAAGACTCCAGAAAAGAAGGGGATCAGCTTTTATATTGTATTTTGGTCTCAAATTCCTCTTTCGGTCTCTTCTGAAAGATGTGAAACAGATATGGATATGGATACAGCACTTTCATTTTCTTCTACTTCTTCTTCTCTCTCTACTGATGATGTTTGAGGCTATCCAGAGTGTGTTTCCTTTTCTTCTTTTTTGACATTTGAGAGAGTAAAGAAATGGTAGTGCGCCACATGTGAGATAGTGAGGCCAAGATATTGATATCCAAATATCAACCCATTCATATATATGCCTTTAGACAATATCATATCAATCACTTCCAAATCCAAATGCTGTGTAGTGTAAGCAGATACTTTGCTTTGCTTCATTAATGAGTCCAAGCAAATACCCTTTGTGATTAATATAAACCCTTCTCATCACGCTTCCAACTAATCCCAAATTCTTAAATGCTCCGAAAACAAATCCAGTTTCAAGGAAAGAGTTCTTCAAATTTCCAAACAAACGTACAAAACTTGAGAGATGCTGGAAGTTCATTTGATAATATAATAGCTTTTTATCATATCTTCAAATTTTTACAAGACTCCTCCATAGGAGAGGGGGAAAGAAAAGATGGGGAATATTGTAAGGAGGAAGAAACAAACAGAATGGGGCAGCCCGAGTTTTTTGATACTTAGGCTTCAAAATAATGCAATTTCTTCTGGTAACTCAGTCCATCACCTCACTCTTCTATCTCTCTTCTTTGCTGGGTCCCCTTTTTTACTCCCACTTTACTGTTCCTTTCCTCTGCCAATGCCCAAAAAGAAAAGAAATAAAAAGAAAAGGAAAAAAATTAAATTAAAAAAAAAAAAAAAAAAAGGGAAAAGGGCCAAGCCGTCTTGTACTCTTGTCCATATTCTAGGCCCGGGCCCATTCCCACTAGTCCAATCATAATTTTTTTAAATTATTTTTTTATTTCCAAGAATGATTTATGATTTTTTTTATTATTGTTTTGATTTTGAATTAAAATCTGGCATCTTCGAACCCGTGCAAATCGCTGACTCTGTTCATCGACTTCCTCATAATCGCTACTTTAGCTAGTCTTTCCGCGGCACGCCAAGCCGACGTCGGCGTAAGTGGCTCATACTTTTCGTCTACTCGGCTTGCATCTCGTCCTCCCATGATGTTCTGGTTCTGCCTTTGGCTTTGCATATGTACCTGTTTTCGGCGGCTCACCGCGGCTGACTCGGCGTCCAAGCCTTTTAAGTATTCGCTAGCTGATGTGGAGCCGGATTGTTTCATAAGCAAGGCTCGAGCCGATGACAGCAAGTGTTGAGCTGACGAAAAATCATGGTGTTCCATCAACCGCTGCGATTCGGCTACAGCTCGGATCGTAACGTGGAGATTCCTCAACCGTTCAATGTTGGAGCCAGATGATCGGACGGCCCGCGGCCTGGGTACTGGCATTACTTGTTTAGAACAAATAAGGCCTTGAGATTGTGATGACGTGTCCCTGAACGTGGATCGTACGGACAATAGGGGGCAAGTCCCTAGCGACGAAACTGGCACTTTCAATTCCACAAGCATTTCTCGGACTTCTTCAGAAGAGAGATCTCCAATCCGGATTGAACCGGGTTCGAGAGCCGTCGGGCGAGTGGAGAGGGAATAGACCGCTGTAATTTCGGCCGGAGATGAACCGGATACGAACCCGAGTTGGAGTCTGAGATCTTGTACCACCACGCTCAACAAGCCGCTAACACATTTTGCCAACGCGTCTTCCGGCGGCGCGGGGCCATCGCCGAAGGAAATGGCGTGAACGGGAATCTCAAGGTGCGAGAAGCGCGTGGAGCACACGACCGGAGCCGATCGTTTGCTATTGCCGGAGTAAGAAGCTCCGACAAGGTCATCTTGTCCGTCAGAAATGAGGATGATACTGGCGGCGGGATTCCTCTCACGCCTATCTTCGAGAACTTTCGCTGCCTTCTTGATTGCGTCGTTAACACACGCTCCTTGGCCAACTTCGCAGAGCAAGTCGACGATTCGACGCGCCGATAGGCGGCCACTGGATGTCATTCTCCGTAGAGACAACAACCGTTTGGAACTGGAAGAGAACGCCACAATCGATAGGCGATCCGAGCAACTTAGCGAAGAAAGAATCAACCGCATAGTGCGTTTAACCATCTGGAGTTTGGCGCTGTTCGCGCTCGCACTAACATCTAAAACGGTTACCAAATCAATCGGCGGACGAAGGTTCCGATTGGTCGGCGAAGACGACGTCGTTACGGATCTTGCCGGCGCCTTCACCTTCAATACCACCGCATAGGTCTCATAGCTCCGACCGGCTGCGACCACCGCCGCCTCAGGCAATAAACTCACTTCTACATTTTTCACAATGTTACGTAATCTCGGAGACGCTAATAGTGCAGATGTAGCAAAGAAACCTTGAAACTCAACTGCGCTATCCTGCTCTTCATCGTCTTCGTTTTCGTCCGATTCCGGTATTGGATTGAATCGACCACCGGAAGTTGGGGACATCAAAGGCTCGTCATCGTTGTAAACTTTCAGCGGCTTCGATTTCATCTCTCCGAGTTTGATCGGTTGGACTCCTCTCGTCTTCTCCGTGTGGATTGGTTGATTCTGTGGGTTCTGATTATCAAGCAACGGAGCATCGTTCCATAGGGAGCTGCAAACAGGACAAGCCACAGTCCGATGCTTCTTGATGTGCGCAGAGATGCAAGGAAAGTGAAATGAGTGGGAGCATTCTGACGTGAAAATGGCGGTTCCTTGTCCTCTTTTCACGCTTTGCAAGCAGATTCCACACCTACTCTGCAAAGTGAAAGCGAGAGAAGTTGAGTGAATTAGACACAATTTCATTGAACCCTAAAGAACAGAGCATATCAGAGAGATACAGAACAGGTGAATTACCTTAGACAGCCGTAATCCAGCTTTAACAAAGGAGAAAGTGGAAGGGGATTTGGGTGAAGAAGGGTTCGAAAACTGAAAGAATCTGGAGCCACTGCTTATCTTCTGGTTAAGATTGGGCGTGGATGAATCTGCAGAATCAGTAGCAACAGAGGTTCTGCAGCGGAGACCGAGGCCCGGCGGCTCCGGCTGCGAGCGAGGCGTTGATGGGTTAGAGAAAAACCCAAATTTAGAGGAGGTGATTCGTGGGGTTTGGGCTTCATTGGTGTCCGTATGCTTAGGAATGGAAGTGCAAAACGCTCTTCTCCAACCCGTCATTGCAAGGGAAGAATCAGAATCCAGAGAAAAGC